TGGCGAACACCTTTCAAATTACTCATATTCTCTAGCGTTCTCTTTCTTTCTTTCCCTCACTCGTTTTCACTCTCGCTTGTCTCTCTCGCTCTCTCTCTATCACTCTCTCTCTCGCTTTTGTTTTCACCATATTTTGCTCGGTAAGCCAAGCTTTTTGACTAATATTTACCTATGCCATTTTTGGCCCTAGAATTCAGGCCTGTTTGCCATCCAAAACAGTCTCCATCTGCTCTCTGTCTCTCTCGCTCCTCTCTCTCTCTCTCTCTCTCTCTCTCTCTCTCCACTCTCTTGCCCTAGTTGTCCATTTTTGAACAAATATACTGGAATGCTGGCCGGAGCCTATTTTTCAAGCTGCCCACGCAGCCCTCCAAATCGCCCATCTGATCTCTGGGGTAGAAATTTGTGCTGCTAGGGCTCTTTTCCCCAAGGATCACTGCTCGATTGCCTATTTCATGGTATTTTATGTTGACTGGCTGTCAGATTCCAACGGTATTTTTAGTTTTGCATTTTCCGCTTAAATCCGCAAGTGACACTGCTAGATTTCCTTCGAATTACACTTTTGTGTAATCATTTTTAGCTTATCTTCCACAGTAATCTCTACTTGTTGGCGGGCACAATTTTCATTTATGTTAATTGCATGTCAATTTACAATATTCGATCTGTAGTTTTCGTTTTAAGCCCAATCCCAAAGAATCGCTGCTAGTTGGCTTTCCAAAACAACGTCTTTATATTAATTGCCGGCCATATTATAATTTTTCACAATTTTCAGGCGCATTGAACTTTTGTATTTCATAATATTGAATTCCATTCCTCCTCCTAGAGGTCACTTCAAGGTTGAGGCGCTGACTTGTGAGGAATCCCCATTTTGCCTCACCCCTCCATTTTTGTCAGAGACTCCAAGAATCCGGTTATTCCATTCTGTACAATTGAATTTTGTGAGGGCCTAGTCCATTGGATATTCGTCATCTTTTTGGCGAATTTTACTTTTTACGGAGTTGCATGCATAAAAAATGTGTTAATAAAATTTAAATCATAACTTAAGGCTCCTTTTTATAAGGTTTGATAATTCTAAAATTCATTTAAATCAAGAATTTAATTTTTACAATTTCAACAAATTCGCGAATATCTTTCGCTAAATCCGCTTAAAATCGTGATTAAGACCTACAGAAAATTAAGTGGAATTTTAAAAAATAAATGTTCGTAATTTCGGTATCTTTGTATATTGCCGTTTGCCCCTAGAAAACCAATAACCATAAACCAGTTCCCCACCATCTCCTTCCCGTTTTTGACCTCCAGCTCACCATCTTTGCAAAGATTCCAATTTCGTCCCCTTGCCTCCAAAAATTTTTTGAAATTCGACCCAGCCTCTTTTATTTTCAGGCGGATTTTGTCCCTGTTGGCAATCCCCCGCATGATCATCTTCTTCTTTTTCTCTCGATTCCCCGAATTTCCATAAATTCCCCCCTGCACCTCCCTCCCACTCGATTTTTCCATCAACTTTTGCATTTTCAGAAAAAGGGCGTGGTTAGAGATTTCAGAAAAAGAAAACCCAAAACTTACGAAAATCACGTTTTTGGATCGTAGAATTGGACTTTGATTTGATTTTTGTGCCTTCTGTTGACGACCAGTACTTGAGAGCCAGGCTAGCAGAGTTTCTTGATGAAACAAAGGAGCTGATGTTTTCTAAGCTGCACTTTTAGAATTTCTTTGCACTTTTGTTTCAACGATTTTGCTTTGGGCAGGCTAGCTGAGATCTTTGAGGAATTCCCGAATTTAGAGAATTGGAAACATAGGAATTTTGTGGTATCGGGATGAGATGATCGGAAAACCAGATTTTATAACAGTCACCTGCCGTCGCTGTTTTTGCGTATAAGATTCCCTATTTGGTGGAAAGCTAGCTAAAACCATTGAGGAAATTCCCAACCCCCCCGCCGTTATGCTCTCATGTCATTTCCAGCCTTTAAATTCGATCAAAACATAGCCCTCCAGTCTCCAGAAGAAGACCAACAATTCCTCCTCCCCACCGGGCTGTGAAATCGGAGAAGAAATGGCGAGAGATGGAGAGAGAAGGAGAGAGAGAGAGGGAACGAGAGAGAGAGAGATAGAGAGAGAGAGAGAGGGGAGAGAGAGATAGAGGGACGCTTCAAAAGCTAGAGAGTCCAAATTCTGGCCGCGTCCTCGATATGGTCATTGCACAAAGGGAATTTAAGCTATTTGGCCTGTCCTTTTCGAGATTCGGAAATAGGCGGGCTGTGTCCGTCAATTGGAATGGAATGTATTCATATTACACAATCGCCTTCTTCAGTATTTTTTTGAGGGTGAGGGTGGCATTTCATGGACGTCATCGGGAAAATGATTGGTGGTTGACACGATCATTGTACTTTTTGAGGGCAAATGTTCTTTGCTAGCTTGCATCGCTTGCAAGTAGCGATTAAAATAAGGGGAGTCTCAAGAGTTTCTGTTAGCTTATCCCATGCCCAAAGTGCCCCGGCTAGCTTGCCAACGCGCGCCAGGATCCCAAATAATCTCTACGAGCCCGCCAAATTCCTGAGGAATCACTGCTAGCTTGCCGTTGGCTTCTCAAGAGCCTCTGTTCGTCACCCTGAATCCCCAAAGGATCCTGCTAGCCCGCCCACGTGGTTTCCTAAAAAGCTCTTCGATTTCCTAAAACGTGGTCTCCTGCTAGTTTGCCTTTGTTACCTTTCCTCAAGCATCTCTGCTTGCTGACTTCTATTTCTCCAAGAATCCCTGCTTGCCTGCCCGGAACTATTTTGAAGCCATCATTGTCTCCGCCTTTTTTCTCTAATTCCGCAAAAACCTCTGCTAGATGGTCGCGATTTCCAAGATGCTCTGCTAGCATACCTATACCTTTCCTGGTTTCCTAAAGAATCTTTGCTAGCCCTGCTTTATTTCCTCAAAAATCTCTGCTAGCCCTGCTGTATTTCCTCAAAAATCTTTGCTAGCTTGCCTAGGTCATTGTAGTTTCCCAAAGAATCACTGCCAGTTGGCCTCTGTTTCCTCAAGATACTCGGCTAAACAGCCAGACCTTTCCCTAATAAACTTCGCCAGCTTGCCCGCTCGGAGTTTCTTCAATTCCTCAATAATCTCCGCTATCCACCCCCTCAAAATCTTCAGCTTCTCCCCGTGCCGTCGTGGCAGTTCTATAGCTTCTCCTTCTTCTTCTCTTTGTGGTCCACATTTTATCGTGCCGTAATCCGTGGTTGCTGCCCTCCCTCCCCTCGTTGGCCACGCCCCCTTTCGTGATTCTCCTCCTCCTCCTCTTGAAAGCATTGGAAAGAGGAGGAGGGCCAAACGAACGGCTCTGATTCTTCCATTTCTTCGGCCCAAAATCTCGGCCTTGCGCTGGGGGATATCCCGGACGGTTTTTCGTCACTTTTGTGACGCAGTTTGGGCCAATACGGCTCCGATTTCCGAATTGCAACATCATGGTCGGAAAAATTGCTTTTTTGAGATTTTTGTGGGGTTAAAAGGGACGATGACAGTTGCTTTTCGACTATTCTGAGATTTTGCGTTCTTTAAATGGTGATGCACAGCTTTTTTCATGAATATTTTGAATTTCGTGATGAATTCACGTTGAAAAAGAGGACTCTCGATATTTTGTGGAGTTCAAGACGTTTCGGACTTTCGTGCTTTTTTATCGTCCGTGGTGGTCAGATTACCGTAATCTAAACACCTCAATTCACAGAAAAATTTAGTTTTCTGGTTTTCGCGTTGCCTAAGATAAGTACTGTATGTCAGCTTGACCAATCCGCTGCTTAAAATTTTGCTCACCGGCGCTGTCCCTTTAAAAAACCTGCTATTCGGTTTTGAATGTTTGCAAATTGTGGGCTGATTTTCAGATAAGAGCTCAATCCACGAAACACTTAAGAAATTCCGACTGTTGAGTTGCACGGCTTTATTGTGTGTCAGTTTGACGAATCGGGCGATAAAATTCCAGTTACTGGCCGATTTGATCCAAAAAACGGCTCCTTTCATCGTTTAACGCTGTCAGTCTCTAAACTGACAGTCAGTCAAGCGTCAAAAAGTTCTTCCAGGCATTGTCCCTTGACTGCCACTCGATTCTAGTACCCAGCACTCTATAATTTCCGTGTCAGTTGACCGTTGCCTCGACTCCAGATTTTAGCTGTTATTTGCGTATTGCTGTCAATTCTCAGTCTCTCTTTTTCTTCTTCTTCTTCTGCCCTCCAGTCAGTCCATCCCCCCTTTCCCCCCATCCGGCAATTCATTTTTATGTGCCGTGTCGAATGGGTGGGAAGGGGACGGAAGGAAGGAAGGAACGGACTGACTGGCAGTAGAGAGAGAGAGAGAGAGAGAGAGAACGCGGGCCCAGATTTTTGTGAGGGCCAGTTGTTTTCCTTCCTGTCGAAAAAGAGCGTCTCATCATCCATGGTAATTCTGGAATTATTGCTCCCGTAGAGTCTTTGAGAAAGCCGAGGGTTGTTCCCAAAATTCGGCCCAGTTCTGCTATGGTTTTACTTCATTTGGAGCGATCGTGCGTATCTGGATTCCGCAACGGGTCTCTGCTAGCTTGCCTGACCCCCAAAAAATCTTCGCTGGCTCGCGGATAGAATTTTTTCGAAGATTTCCGGACTTGCCATGGGGTTCTTAAAATCCTAGATCATCTCTGCTGGAGGGCCTTGGGCCCAGGAATCTCTGCTAGCTTGCCTCTCGGCCTTTTGGCGATTTCCGCCTTTCTAATGATTGTTCACCTCCTGAATTCTCTCTGCTAGCATGCCCTGACCGAAATCTCGACCGTAATGAGAAGGCTGGTAGACAATTTACATATTCCCCAACATTCTTTGCTAGTCTGCCTTCGGATCCGATCTGGATTTTGCTTGGTGCAAGCCTCTCATTATTGCGCTTACGGTATCTTTAATTTCCGGTTTAGGTTTAGCAATTTCTCTCTTTTCGAATAGCATTTCGCTTTTCGTAATTTGCATTTTAGCATTTTCTAAACTGTTCTAGGTACTGTTTTCCAGATGGCGGACCCACACGATGTGCCCCATATCTTAAAGTCCTCATCGTCCCTCACGCCTGAACAAGTTTTCGCCGCGATTGATTCTACGTTATTAGCAAAGGTAAAACATTTAGATCTGCAAAATTGCGTTGGTTTCCAGATGACGCCGTTAAACAAAATCGCTAAAAATTTCGTAAAAATACGCTTTCTAGAAAAATTCGTTTTTTTCCAAATGACACCGTTAAAAATCGATGAAAATACGATTTCTAAATAATTCCTGTTTTTCCAGATGACACTCGGCTCGGGTATGGTGTTGATGATACTGGCAACTCTCGTCGGAAACGCGATGGTCTGTCTCGCCGTTCTATTAGTGCGGAAACTGCGGCAACCGGCCAATCTGCTACTCGTCTCGCTGGCAGTCGCTGATTTCTTTGTCGGGTTGTTAGTGATGCCGCTGTCGCTGTATGACTACGTTAGTGAACGGTACGTTACGCAGCGAATTTTTCACTTTCTCTCTCACTCTCTCTCTTTCTCTCTCTCTCTATCTCTCTCTATCTCTCGCTCTCTCTCTCCATCTCTCTCTCTCTCTCTCTCTCTCTCTCTCTAGCTCTGATTTTCTAGCGGAACCGCCTTCATCAGATGAAGAATTGGCAGAAGGAGCGAGTGAGATAGAGCGAGAGAGAGAGAGAGAGAGAGAGAGCGGTCTTTTCCTCCCCTTCGGCGTAGACCAATGAAGGGAAATGAAAGAGCCGAAAAGCGGGGAAGCGCCATTTGTTTTGTCCCGTTCATCCTATTCTCCTTTTCCTCTTTCTCTTCTTGAGCCAGAGGACCCTCTTGTGAATTAGAACGAGTACGTCCAGCTTGGGGGCCTAAATGGGGCAAGGGGCTAAATTGGGGGCGCTGTGGAGGGTCGGGGTCAAAATTGAGCGCGACGAAATTTGGAGCGTGTAACCAGACTATCTCAAACTAATCTGCAAACTATTAAACCATTAAGCCATCGGAACTTTGACTTAAAACTTTTGAACACGGCTAACTGGATGTCAGTGGAGCGAATCCTGCAAAAAAAAATCCCAAAGTTGGAAAACGACACCCGGAGGATCCGAGCTAGGGTCATCTGACTGAGAGTTAAGACAGTTAACCACAAGGCTACTTGGGCCACGAAATAAATTTTCCTCTCGCCTCGTTGTCAGTCAGTGAAGCTAAATAAGCCCTGAAAAGCATCATTCTGTTTCAGATGGGCACTCCCCCGTATCATCTGCGGTCTGTGGACGACGGCCGATTTGACGCTGTGCACCGCGTCCATCTGTAATCTCTGCGCCATATCGGTTGATCGATATATGGCCATTTCACGGCCATTACGGTGAGTTCGAAAGCAAGTTTTGAGAATGCTTAAATGGTCTCTGCTAGTCTGCCAGTCACTCTAAAGGGTCAAAGAAGGCATTGCCATATGCATTTTGCCGCGGCCGCAACTCACACGCATTTTTGCCGTTTTGTGCCAACAAAATGGTCTTAATCGATTACGCGATGAAAAGGCATGCGCAGCGTTGGCGTCGCGTGTCGCGTCGCTGCAAAGTTCAGAGCTTTGCGTTGCCAATCCCCTTAAAATCCTCGAAAACCCCTCGGGTTCGTTTCTTGCCAAAGTGATTGCAATTTACGACCCATCCCCTCGAAATCTGTGTTTTCCGCTTTACCCTTTCGCCATCTGGCTAGCAGAAAGATAACAGCATAAGAAATGGTAAACCCAACGGCAAAAAATCGGGGATTGGTTCTGACGGAATGGGGGGATGGAGGAGGACAAGCCATCGCGTGCATTCCAGATGTTTGACTAGAGAAGGGGGATTACCCTGTTTTTCTAGAGGTATAGGGAAGTTGTTTTGACCGGCTGCGGATGCTTGCAATGAGTTCAACGTATAGACTGGAGGGCAGTTTGTGATTTTAGGGAAATTAAAGGGGAGGGGAAGTTTCAAAACATTTTATTTAGAGCTAAAGGCGTCAACCGACAGTCTGTTAATCGAATTATCGATTAAAATAAACTTGAAAAAATACAAAATGCTAATTTGGTGGCAATTGTATGGCGTTCATATACTCGTTAAAAGCGTTTGGATTTTATGAAAGCTGCAGTTAAGCGGTTTTTTTAATTAAAAATTCAAATTGACTCCCGGCTTATACATTTTAAACTCACACTCTCAAATTTTTCGTAAATTTTCCATTTCCGGGTTTCAAAATTCATAGAGGCGCAAAAATCTGAGCCGGCTGGCAGTTTGCCCAAATTGATACTCCCGGCTTCAGAACTTCCAAAATTCTCGAGCCTAGCTGCCAATGAATATCCGAAAATACAAGCTGACTGTCAGTTTAGCCATTTTAATAGAAACCTATCCATAATTCGCTAACTTGCGCCTTCTGGGCTCCAATCAATACTCCAAGCCACAAACTGTCACCCATTTCACCGTATTTCATAATCGATTGGGGTCAAAGTCACTTCGATCGGCTTAATGGTCCTGTTTTGCTACGAGAGAGAGCATATGTTTTCCCACGACTCCCGATGGCAAACGATCCAACAGGAAAAGGGGGGAGAAGCTGCGGGGAATGAGCATCTTGCCTTTTCTCCTTCTTCTTCTTTCCCATCCCCCAATCCATCCACCGGCTATTTCGGGGATTTCGGACCGAGGGGGGTGGGGGGGAGATGCTGGTGGAGGTCGAGAGGGGCCAATATGCAGAGCAGGGTGTAAGGGATTCCAGCTTACATGGAAAAATATAGTAAAAATTGGTGGCAGGCTAGCAGGGATCATTTGAGAATGAAAACTGACAACCAGTTCGCCGGTTCCTGAAGTTTGATCGGAAAGCAAACTAGCAAAGACCATTTGCTCAGTATCCTATCCTATAAGCGAGAAAAGTATGTCTGTTTTCTGTACGGCCGTTTTCTCGGCCGTCAGGCCGAATTTCGAGCTGATTTTTGGCATGGGGGTGGGAAATGCTATTTATAAAAAACGGTTTTTTGGATTTTTTGAAATTCTTCCATTTAACGGTTTTACAAGCAAAAATGTGAAAAATCCTTAACATTTTTGGGTGCGAACGTTGTCCGGAACTTTTCTCGGCCCCTAGAGGGAACTGGGGCCTCATTTTTGGAGGGTAGATGGGCAAAGTAATTCTCCAGATACATTTTTTCGGATTTTACAAAATTTTTTTAAATAAAGTTTTTATAAGAATTTTTCTGAAAGGTCCTTAATAAATTGCGTCTCGGGCCGTGGTGTCCGGGCCATAACTCGAAGCCCTGATGGAATTCCAGGCTGAAATTTGGACCGTTTATGCAATCAAGGGTAGGGATCACGCGCATCTTATTATCTTTACAAACTTTTTACAGGTTCAGACCAAAAAAAATAATTTTGTAAAGTGATCTGAAGGCCTCCCTCCGGGATCATTGGTCACCCTTATCTTTGGCCCCACCCCTCCCAGGACGGAAGAGGCCTTTGCCGCGGCTCTACCCGTGTGCCCCGTGGGGTAGTGGATTAGCGCTTGGTCTACCACGCGCAAGGTCGCGAGTTCGGATCCTGGCAGAATTTCATGTTTTGCTTTTTGGTTGTTCCGCAACAAAACATATTTCTAGGCTCTCGGTGTGCTAGGTTTAGGCCTGGCCCTCGCTCTCGCGCCGCAGGCCAATCATTGGTGCTCGACCCGGGCTCTAGCGCCGCAGGCCAGATCCTAGAGGAAAACCAGTAACTAGCGCCGCAGGCTCAAAGATTCTAGCGCAACGCTGGCTCTGGCGCCTCAGGCTAAAAAAAGATCTCCCCTTTGATGTAGCGGATCAGGGCCGGGGCTGTGGCGTTGAGGGTCGCGGGTTCGGACCCGCGAGAAATTTAGGTTTTTGCTTTTTGGTAGTTCAGCAACTAAACCCATTTCTAGGATCACCGTGTGCGCGATTTAGGCCTGATTCTCGCTCTAGCGCCGCAGGCCAATGACAGGTCTTTGATCTAGGCTGTTGTGCCGCAGGCCACATCCGGGAGAAAAACCAGTAACTAGCGCCGCAGGCAAAAAGATTCTAGCGCTAGGTTCAGGCCTGGCCTTCGCTCTAGCGCCGCAGGCCTAAGAAAAGGCCCTTGGTCCAGGCTCTCGCGCCGCAGGCCAAAGAACAGATCCCAGGGTCAAGCGTCGCAGGCTAAAAAAAAAGAAGGTATTCATGGTTCCGGGACTGGGTCCAGTGGAAATGGCCGCGAAGCGGTCTTTTTCCACTGGTTTGGAATAACTGGAATCCAGTTCACGCTCTAAAATCCTAAGTAGTGATGGCGAGCCAGCAGAGATCATTTGGGAATGCCAGCTAATTGAGTACGAAGTTTGATTGGCAGACAAGCTAGCAGGGAGTATTCGGGAATTTTCTTAACCGAGGTCTTGTGTTGGCGACCAATTTACATTCTGAAATCATAAATACTGGCGGCAAGCTGGCAAATACCGTTTAGGAATGCTAACTGACAGGCAGCTAGTCGATTGCTGAAGTTTGATCGGCAGGCAAACTTGGAGGGATGCTTTGGGAATTTTTTAGGCACGCATAGGGGTTGTGTTGGATGCCATTTTAGATTCTAAGTTAGCAAAAATGTGTGGGAAGTTAGCAGAGATCAGCCAGGAAGGCAAACTGGCTCCCAAGTAATCTTTTTCAAAGATCCGTTTCAAAGGCAATCCAGCAGAGGCCATTTATTGATTTTTCAGATACTCAGCGATGCGTACAAACATCCGTGTCTCGCTCTACATAGCCCTCGTGTGGGCCGTCTCATTTTTCGTCAGTCTCACCGCCCTTCTCATCACACAATTCCTTGAGGAAGATACGGATGGCGGGCAGCAGGGGCTATGCGTCGTGAGTTTCCCCACGTATTATCGCATTTTATGCGGCGCAATATTTAAACTGTAGTTCAAGCCAGGCATTTTTTCAATCAACCTTTGATCCTCAAAAAAAACGGTTTCATTTAAATAGCGTAATTGGGTTGTTTCGCTCATAAAAACTTGAAAAACGATACTTTGCGGATGCTTTTAGTGATTCCCAAGCTAAAATGTCTGATTTTCGATCCCCTAATTCCCTTCAAAAATAGCCCATGTTATTTGTGAGTCATGCTCCCCGTCTCAAGAAAACATGATCAACGCGTGGCCTTTCTTTCTTTTCCCGAGATTCCAGATGTCAATTTCCCTTTAAAATATCCATCCCGAACACCTGGATCCTTTGGGCCCTCAGCCTAGCTGCCATCCAAATATTTGATCCCCACTCCCAGCAGAGGAGCACTTTTTAGGGAACGGCTCGTTAAATGGGTCAGATAATGATCCGCAGCCAGGGGTGCCTTTTGAAGGGCTGGCAGAGCTTGTGCATTATTGCGGGGAACGGGTAAATTTCTAATAAATTTATGTTTTTCGAATTTCAATTTTGGTTCGAAATTGTGATTTTTGGATAGTTTGCCCCCTTCGACTGAAGCAAAATCAACTTAAAAACAATAGAAAAGTGTTCTTTTACGTTTCCAGAAAAGCTGAGCGTATAGGAAAAATTAGTCCCACCGCCCCGCCCCCCCCCCCCCCCCGATAATGCAAAAGCTCCGAAATATCTCCCTCGTCCGGGTCAGAGGTACTTTTTAGACAAAGACTCGTTGAATGGGTCACATACTGATCCTCAGGCAGGGGCGCTTTTAGCAAAACACCCCCATTCAACCCCCCCCCGTTATCAGAAAAGCTCTAAAATGGGGAACCAGGTGGGTCCTTTGAATGGCCAACTATTCCTCATGTCACCCATTCCCTTCTGTACCCCCCCCCCTTCCAATACCTGCTGATGACTTATGGCCCTAGTTCTTGCTGGGGGTCGGCTTCTCAAAGGAACCAACTTTTGGAGCCTGCAAAATCCCCCACGCGAATTTTTCAGGGTCTGAACGCTTTTAAAATCACTAAAATCTAAAAACTTAAAAACAAAATCTATTTGGAACCTTCCGTTACGTTATAAAAATGTAAACGATTATTGCACGTCAGACAGTTTAGAGTTCGAAATCATTAGCATAGATTTACGGAGCCGCAAAACTCGAAACTAGCCTTAGAAGATTTTACTTCCAAGACCCTAAGAATCACCGATTTTTGGCCGAAACCAAGAAATCTGGCTGGCAGCTCGGCCATTCGGCGCGTCATTCCTAAGCGTCAGTAACGGCCTCCCCCCGTGGCCGCGTAAGGTGGAACGACGCGTACTAAGTGCCCAGCGGACGGCCAAAAAATGGGGCCTTGAACGCCTAGGGGGTCTTCGGTTTCTTGGCTTTAGTTCTTGAGGAGGAAAAACATAATCCGAAATCAACAGAAAATCCAAAAAACTAGATTTTAAAACATTGAGCATTCCAGTTGACCCAAAATCAAAGCTAAGGTCGTCTCCCGCTTGGCCTTAGCTTTTGCGGGAAATGCATAACCCAAACTCCTCGGAAAATCTAAAAACCTAGCCCAAAAACTGGTAAATTGATGACCCATTCCCAAAAGAACCCGAAAAACATTAACATATTATGCTAGCCGGGTGGAGTGGATGCCAGATAGATGGAAAACATGGAAAAAGAACAGAGAGACAAACTGGCTGGGAAACAGACAAACAGAGGGGACAATGGACCACCCAGGAGGGGGAAACTGATTTTTGAGAGTTTTTAGAGCTCCCTGGAGGGCAGTGGGACTCCTTGAACGCGGAGCATTTATCATTTTTTGAAAGGGCTAAAGATAGAAATAGAAAATACGAGGAAACAAAAATCGTCACGATCACAATCAAACATGATTTTGATAAATCTTGCAAAATTTCATGATAAATAAAATTCGAAAAATTTCGATATGTTGGGTTTTGAAAACGCTTACGCCATCTAATTTACGCCGAACGTAAATACGGACTTCAGTTTATGTAAATGAGCGATTTTTGCAAGATTTTTGTCAAAATTTGGTTGAAAAATCGAAAACCTGATTTTTCGGATTTTCGCAACCGATTACGCCATTTAATTCGAGGATTCCTAGGGAAATCATAGATTTGACAATTAATTTACCCAATCTGCCTTTGAGGTAACCCAAAATCTGGGCTATCAAATCTACGCGACACTCCTCGCCTTCTACGCTCCAACGATGATAATGGTGATTTTGTACGTGAAGATCTGGAGGGCGGCAAAGAGGCTGGCCATGCAGGATAAACTCTTATCTTATGGTGTGAGTTGTACTATGAGTCATACTGACAGCTAGCGGCGGTCATTTGGGAAGAGATACACAAAATTGCGAAATTCGGAAAGGTCAAGCTAGCAGAGATCCATTGCGGAATTTTCGGGAAAAGTTAGGCGTCTTCAATAGATTTTAAATCCTAAGCTGGATGGCAGGCTAGCAGAAAACATTGAGGAATCCATGAGAAAAGCTGTTTAAAGCGGATTTTCATTTCCCTAAAAAAATTTTTGCAAAAAATTCCATCCGAAAACGCAATCCACTTTTTCGCCGTAGAATCGCGTTTTTAGGTGAAATCGAGAAAACCGTGATACAGTATACCGAAAAATGAGATCGTATGCAAATTACAGTGATTCTTTCCAGAGCGGTCAACCCCGTGAATCCACGGACAGCTCGAATCTTCTATCAGCCGGGCTGGGAAACGGGAAATCCGGGTCCAGATCGTATTTCCACAGACCGTCCGCGCTCTTCAACGCCGTCAAGGTAAGTCGAAATATTAAATCACGGCGTGTTAAAGGCACTCAGAAGGCTGGATTACCCCTAATCAGACTGCTGGCAACGTGCCAAAAAAGATGATTTTTACCCGAAAATTGTTAAAATTCCCTAAAAAGCCAAATTTTCGTTCAAAACTGTTGAAAACCATTACGATACCAAAATTCTGTCTTCTAAGTCTCTTTAAAAGAGAACAAATCTCGAAACTGTCCATTCCTTTGTTGATCCACATCAATGGGAGAAGCCCTGGACGAGTCCGAGTGGTTCGGCCTCCGCAACGGACTACAAAAATCGCCCCAGAAAAAGTACCGTAACCAGCGATATTGTAGCTTTTACGATGGTTTTCTTAGTCGTTCGTGTCGCTGTCGTTGCTATTTACGAGTAAATATGCTAAATAGAAAGGTAAAGCAAGAGTTATTTATCTCCTAAAGGGACCGTGACAGTTCGGCTTTTTCAATTTTTTTAATTGAATTTAATCGTATTTCTCTGGAATTAATTTCTGGGATACTGTGAATTTTAAATCAGTCAGAAGTGTCTAAATTTTACCCTTATTTCGAGCTTGGCAAGCTGCCAGAAATCTTATCCTCTTATAAGCCCTTGATTCGCCAGAAAAGAGCTTTTCCCCGCTTCTTCTCCCCCCCTTTTTCTCCAAGGGCAACAATCCACAAGTTTCCGCGCAACGCTAGGGAAATCCACAGAGGAATCGAGCCTTTTCGAATCCAGAGGAAATCCCGAAAAAAACGGGGGAGTCGATGGCAACAAAATTGAATTTTAGGAAGAGGGGGCAGATTTCGCAAAAATATTTCATGCGACTCGAGATATCTATGGGAGGATAATGATGAGACCGGTCTCTAGGGGGGTAGCTGGGAGAGAATATTGGGGAAAAGGGAGTAGGGAGAGGAAGGGCTTTTTGAGCCGAAGGGACCAACCATCAACCCAAGAAAAGGAGGGCGAAGGGGGTCAAAAAGTGATCAAAAATTTGAAAATAAACTACCGTATCTTAGCCTCTATTTTTGAAAAATATTTGTTTTCCTGCGGATTTTTACCTTCAACGGCCCTTTAAAACAGTGTAGAGTTCTGAAAAACAGCGCGCTTGCATTAGCATGGAATTTTTGACCATAAGAAACGTTTTAAAAGGGCTGGTAAGGCGTTGAGAACTCCGGAATCCCATGGATTTTTGGCTTCCAGGTCCTTTTAAAACGCTGAAAAATTGTCTAGATCAAATTTTCCCATTTCCCTCTCCAAACTGCCTGCCAACAATCACAACGCGGGGCTCCTCTAGACGAGTCAAGTTACGGGACCACTTCCACGAGGGCCAATATGCCCTCTCATAAATGGGTCCCCCTTCCACTGCTTTATGACCCTCGAGAACATCCAAAATATGCCCTGAGTTGTTGGCCGAGTGCCAGGGGGATATCTCGTGACCCAGAAAAGCCAAAAAAGCTTTTGAATTTCAGTACACCAGTCTTCTATTCTTTCCGTTCGTCGTCAAATCGGTAATTGCTCGCACTGAGAGAAAACGAGTGAAAAATAGAGAGAAAGAGAGAGAGAGAGAGAGAGAGAGCGACCAAAACCGTTTAACTGGCAGACAAAAAGCTGTCAAAAATTGGTGAATGGCTTCTTCTCCTGAGCATGAGCTTTTTCTCGCGAAAATCTGGCAATAAGCTTAAACTTTCTCGATAGTGCAACCCCTAAAACTGTGAAAATGGCCCGAGTGTCTGAATTGATTGGAGAATGATTGGCCGTATCGTGTCGTACTATTATTGCTACGGCCTATAAACTACAGCTCTAACCCTTGGAAAGCTGCTACTGCCAAAAGCTCCCTGCAGAAATTTTTTAGAGTCCAAAATTACCATATTTTTTTCAGTACCACTCGCGGCAACACGAGAAATCAGAGACGAAAGCCCGGCAGACACTTGGGGTGATGATGTCCGGTGAGTATCAGGGATGACAGACTACAAAATACCGAAGACACCCCGAAATACCGTATCTTGCTTACGGTAGACTAAAAGACACCCCTATTTACACCTGAAAGACCAAATTTTTCGCTAAGTGACACGGACCACGGTAGCTTCCAAGATACACCTCTTTATGCTACGCTACGGAAGGCTACAAAATACAGTTATTGGATAGTTAGGATTTAGTATCTTTCTTATTAAATAATTCTAAGTATTTTGCGGTACGAGAGGCTCCAAAATACACCTGCGTACGTCTCAAAACTACGTCATTTCCAGTGTTCATCATCTGCTGGCTGCCATTCTTCGTGTTGGCCCTGGTGAAGCCGATATTCGGATGGCAAGTGCCGCCATGGCTCGATGGGCTCTGTTTATGGCTCGGATATTCCAATAGGTCAGTTCTTGGGGAAAAATCTCCATTTTCTACAATTCCAGCCCGATCATTGCATTAACCGGCTGCCAGTTAACCCAAACACACACGCCAATTTGGAATTAGACCACAAATTACCAAAATTTCCGCGCATTATTTCACAAAGAGCCTAAAATTTTCCTCTTTAATTTTTAAATTTAAAGGAATCTTTTAAAACTTGAAAAATCCCGATGTTATATACATTGCTAAACAGTATGCCTAAAAATATGGGAAATTTAGCGCTAGGGTACAAACTACTAAAAACCCAATCTTTGAAAAATCGCACCTTTCCGAAAATCACGAATTCCATAATTCTTTCACCAGATAATGTAGCTTTTCCCCTTAAACGCCTACTCATTTAATCTAGAGTTTAAACTACAACTCCTCCAAAGCGTTCATTGCCCCCAGAAGCTAGTCAGTGGGCGTGTATTTCGATTGGCGTCGGTGTCAATAGACGCATTGCGTACATTCAACCCCCCAATTCCCTCCATTTAACGCTGGGAATGTCTTCCTCTGTCTGTCTGTCTGCCAGTTGATCCATCTGTGCGTTCATCGCCCCCAAAAAGCCTTCGGAAGAGTCAGAAAAATCCAGAAAACCCTCATTTTTTCTTCCAAAAAGCCTTCTTTTCGTCGGTTCATTCAGATCAAATTTCAGTCCCCTCCTCCAGAAATGCCCTCGGACCAGAGGAGGTCCCAGAAGAGGCAGGAAACTTCCTTAAAAGGCTTTAAAAGCAGGCGTTCAATAAAAATCGCCGGAAAATTCGAACGGCTAGGGATGCCCTAAAAATCCAGAAAATGTGATCGTGATGCCGAAATCCACGATTTTATGCAAAAATTCTGACTTCCCATTACCTTTAAAACCTCACAACACCATCTTGTTTATGTGCATCCAATCACCCTTTAAAATACGGCTCAAAACGTTATTTCTCCGCCAAGAAAAATCTAGCATCTCGTCGCCCCAAAACTTTAGAGATTTTGCCTTCAAAATCCCTTTAAAACGTTTGGAAAGCGGCTACCGTATGTAGCAAAAAAATCAGAAACTATGACTCCCATCGCCTTGAAAGGCCCTTTAGAATAATCTAGAAAAAGCTCCGGCGATCGGGTACCGTATCCCGAAATTTTCGGGGAACTTTGCTCGGCTTTTCCTCTCGTAAAAATCGAGGGGAATGAGTGGCAGTTGATGCTTCCTGATTGCCTCCATATTTAGCTCTTTTTCTCTAGGACCTCTCTCTCTCCCTGACTCTCTCTCTCTCTCCCTCTCTCCCTCTCTCTCGCTGACACTCGCTCTCACTCTAACTCTCACGCACTCGATCTCTAGGGTCACAGCTAGAGATGGTGAGAGAGAGAGAGAGAGCGAAGGGAGAGAGAGAGAGAGAAGGGGAGAGAAAGGAAAGGGAGAGAGAGAGAGAGAGCTACCATTTAGATAAGCCCTACCAATGGCCATCCGCCCCTCCCCTACCACATTTTGCACTTTTTGCAATCCCCCGTTTTTGACCTCTCCGGGAAGCTGAAGCCTCTAATCTCGCCACTCAAAAAGCTCGGTGAAATGGCCGAGATGGGTGGTCCCCCATTCAAAAGACACCCAAAAACTAGAAATAATAGTTTTGAGATTAGGGCGGCTTGCTGGGGAGCCACAGGCGGGCTAGAAAAAGTCGAGTCGGGGGCTCGTGGCAGTTAGGTTTTTGGTCGTAAAGGAGCTGACGAATTGGCGGCTATTTCATGGCCTAAATTTATGAATTTACCAGCGAAAAATACCATCTAGAAGCGAGCCACCGCTCAAAAAACGCCGAAAAGCCTAATTAAACCAATTTATTTTTAGAGTACAAACTTTTCAAAATCGTAAAAATCTAGAATTGGGATAATAGAGACCTTCAAGCCTAAAAATTTCGATTTCGCTTCTAGTCTGAATATTAAAAAGAGTGGTTTACCGGCCAAATTTTGAAAAAATTGAATTTGAAGTTCGTCGGCTTCAAAAAAATTCCATTTTTAGTGGAATTCCACAGCTGGAAACACTCTAGTCAAGCTCCCTCTAAATTCCGACTCCAAATTCCGCCTACATACTAAATGCCCTCCCTCGTTTTGCGTAAAGTGCGTGCTTGCGTGGTAGGTCTAGTTTTTTGCCTCGCGGCGGTGGGCGTTCGTCCTTCCCTTCGTCCGTCCGTCCGCCCGTTCGTATTGGCCAACCCCAGCCCATGGTGGTGGTGGTGGTGGTTGATGGTTGACGGGGGGAAAGAGGGGGGAAGAAGCCACGGGCCCCCAAAAGAAAGGGCTTGACGCTGATTTATACGCCCCAAATCGGAACCGCGAATTATGGGCCACGCGGCCAATGGGGGACCCACCACGGAGACCCCGGGAACGGGAACGAGAACTAAAGAATTTGGAGGGGTCTACGGAAAATTGGTTAGCTAAAAATTCGTGAAAAAAATCATAAAAAATCTCCTAAAGTCTTAGAAAATCCAAGACACTCAAAATTAGCTCAGCTTTGACAACCATTTTAAAAAATCATATTTCAAAGGCCTTAAAAAACATTAAAAACATCTTAGAAACGCGCATAAAACTTTAGAAATCGATAAAACGCTTAAAACCATCTAGAAAAGTTTTAAAACAGCAGATTGCTGCGAAAAAGAAAATGAAGAAATATTTCAAAAATTTAGAGGGCATAAGAAAAATGAATGAACTCAAAAAATCGAAGAAAACTTCCTAAAAACGCGAATTGCTCAGAAATTATCAAATACCACCAAAATCCCTAAAAAATAATAGGACTTGTTTTAAAAAACGCGAAGAAAATTACCAAAAATTCGGATTTGATGAAATCGCGAAATACTTCGAAAACTATCGCCAGCCCCCAAGAATCCTCCATTTTCAGCATGCTGAACCCCCTGATCTACTGCAAATACAACAAAGACTTCCGGATCCCGTTCCGCGAGATGATTTTCTGCCGATTCTCCACCCTGCAGACCGTCATGAGGCAGCAGAGCTTCACCAGCAAATACGGGCCCGCGTAAGTTACCAAATTCATGGGAAAATCACAAATGCACCTCAAAATTCAACAATAAAATCCTAAAACACAAAATTTACAAAAGGGTCTGGAAGCAGTGAAGGAAAAACTTTTTTGGCAAGTGCCCGATCATGGAAGCGCTTTTTGCACCGATTTAGCTGTTAAAAATAGCTTTGAAAATCCGACTAGTGTTCTAAATTATCGAGAACAAAACCAGTATATTAACCGTTCTAAGATCCTCTATTTCTAGGCCGTGCCGAGCAGCCAGTATCCAGGATCGGGCCGACCGGCCGGAATCGTCAGATCTGTGATCCGCTCCTCTATCTATTGTATCCATTATTTTATTTCCAAAGATCTCACATCAGCCAAAAAATTGACCAAATATGATCTGTCTTATCCCAGTGAATAGCCTTCATCTATTTCCCTCCCTTATACTCTTCGATACGGGCCATCAGATATACGTGCGCGTTCACATTGCCATACCAATTATTATTGAGTGACCCTTAACACCAATCTATCCATTTCCACATATTCAATAATCAAATAGGCAATAAAACTTCAGAATTAGACGTCTAGAACCCGAAAAAACACCCTAAAAAGCACAATAAAACGCCCAATACAAAAAATAGCTGGAGGTTGGCGTAAAGGCTGATTTATCTAGTTAACCGAAAGTTCCCTAAAGATCTCTGCTAGCAATGCCGATGATCCTTTCTATTCTAGATAAAAAACGCAAAAACCCACGTTTAGCCGCCTCAAAAATGCTTCTATTCTAAATTCTAAAGATTCTAAAGAGCGCATCATTTGATACACCACTCGCAAAATGAAGCAAATCGCAAAAAGCACCGGTTGAAAAAGCCGAAAACCCCGAATCGCCGTTTAAAAATTCGAAAAACATTACACTCACACTCACCTAAAATCGAAGAAATAGCGTAATTTACTGGTACTAGCTTGAAATTTAACGAGTCAAAATAACTAGTAAATTTCTCCAAAAATCACTGCCCGTAGGCCTGACTTTTATCTCGCCTATTGCCACTAGATCAGTTATAACACGTATAAAAATCCGTATAAAATCATAATTCTCTTATCAAAATCCCAAGCGGCAAAAATTGTTCGTGTATATTCCCTGAAAAGCCTTCTCAAAATCCATTGTAAAACAACCACTTCAAACTCCACAAAATTCTAGGGGAATAAAATCTTTATTCAGACCTGCATCGGGTGGGGCTTTTTGGGGGGTACGGTAAAGAAAGAAAAGAAAAGAACGGCGGGGCCACGAGTAGTACAACGTTTGACACGGCCATCTCATATCCTTATAACTTATATATAGCTCCTAAGCTTCTTATTTCTGAGGCTTCTGCTGCGCCGCTTCCGGCAACAAAAAAACACACACATCGACCGGTTTAGAGGGTACGGGGGCGGAAACGGAAAGGAAAGGACAATCCAAAAAAGGGCAGTGCTGCTAAAGGGCTGCTAAAGGCTACGAAGCTATACTCTAGACATACACACAACGAAAGAATTAGAAGAGGAGGAGGAGCACAGTATCGGAGAGTACAAAGTACACCTTAGTACGTTGAGCGAATCGATTGGACGGCGGCGTGGGCGACGAGAAGTTCGGCGAGGAGCCGCGTCTCGAGGTGAGCACGAGTGTCCATGATCCAGTCACGGGCCAGCAGACGGGGCTCACCCTGGAACAAACGTTTTAAAAATGATTTTTGAAGAATATCAATAAATTTATTGTTTTCTTAAAAATAAATTATTTAGCTGACCCAGGTTTCCCTAAAAATCTCTGCTAGCACGCCTGATTAGGGCACCGCCCAAAGTCGGCTATAGAAAGTCAAAACTACCTTTAAAAATTGTGTTTTGAAAATCAAATTTGAAAGCACTATCTTTAACAAATTAAAATGAGTTCATGGATTGATTTTTTAAGCGCAAAACCTTATCTTAAAAATCAGCTTTTACCAATTTAAAAATTAAATAGAATGGTTTGAAAGTAAACTTGAAGAATTTATAAACCCGAAGGATTTGTAAAGTAATTCTTAACAATTGGATGTTTAAATTTTCAGCGCCATTTTTAAACCTAATTTGATATTTTAAATTTAAAATCGCTACCTGAAGCAGCTGGACAATCTTGAGCGCCGACGGGAAATCGTTCTGCTCGACGTACCACCGAGCGCGCGACAGCAACTAGAAAAATTTTGTACAATCGAAAAACCAAAATCCTACCTCCAAATTGTCGAGGACGTTGGGGTCGAATTTGTCTTCGCGGGTGTAGTGCATTGGTAGATCGAGGCTGAGCACAGAGCGGATGTACGACCAGAAATATCGCCCGAGTGAGCCGCCATTCTCGCCCACCCACGCGCTGCGTCGCCCGACTGTGTACAACTGAAAAAGGGGTTTTGCGACGTCAAAAATCAAAATAAGTAAAATGATGACCTAATTTTTTATACGTGTCCAGATACGTATAGTAACGCCATAAAAAGTAACATAAAACCTTTTTAGCAAAATTTAGTGAATTTTCAAGTGCAACAACTACTTTTAAACTGTTTAAAAATATGGAATTTTGTCAAAAAAATTAACCCTTTTGTTTAGTTTTAGCATATATTCGCTCTAGTCGTATTTTCCGCGAAAAAAACTATTTAAAAACTGTTGAAAAAAATTAGAATCTCGTCGAAAAAGCAGCCTTTTTGGCAGAAAAATGTAGATTTTTGTCTTTTACGGAATTTTCGAAAATTTTGTCGCCGCCTGCAACTGCCAAAAACCGAAAATCCAAGATCACCTTGTCGAATCGATTCTTGAGGTCGAGCTCGGTGTAGACACCAGAAGACGTGGCCTGTTTCGGGAACGAGTGCACGATCGTCGTCACCACTTCATCCTCGGGGTTCACCTAAAAATAACATGTTTACTTTTTTAATTTCAATACCTCGTTGAGAATGTCGAGAGAAGCCTTGAGGGGTGCCCTCCTTGCCTCCATGGTCTTGCCGGCCTTTTGTCCGTGGACGATCGTGTCGATCAGGTTGTGGCACGCGATCCAGAATTGTTTCGACCGTCGATTTTCGGCGTCCTAAAAGTTGAAATTAAGAAAACTAAAGAAATCCTTACCAAAGCGACACGGCTGGTGAGGGCGGTCTCGATGCCCTCGAGGCGGGACAGGGCTTGGCCGACGGCTTTCGAGTGATGGGCACGCTCGACGAGGACAGCCTGAAAAAAATAGAAATATAATTACTTGATTTTTACAGTTATTTAATTTCATGGATTTAGCAAAATTTGCCAACACCACAAAAGAAAACCTGTACTATTTAAATTGTGTAAAAGCCCGAAAACCGGAAATCGTGTCTAAATTTTTGAATTTTTAACATTTTATAGATTTTTAGGAAATTAAATTTCTTGAAAATTTGAAAATAGAATAATTATAATAATTTGAGCGTTCAAAGATCTAAAAAACACACCTCCTCAACCTTCTGGTTGTGCTCAATCTCGAAGAGCTGACGTTGAGTGCGGATGACCTGTTCAAGATGTTCAGCATGAGCACCAGCGGCCCTCTTCAGCCTGTCCTCCAGCTCGGTCTCCCAGTTGCCCCGCTTCGTCAGCACCTAAAAGCTCAAAATTTGAAGCCAAAAAGGGAGCCCGACCTCCTTCTCGACGGCCAGTTCTTGTTGGGCTTTGACACGATGAAGCTCGATGTGCAGCTTCTCCTGGGCGATTCGCTCGTCGGCAACGCGTTGGTCAGCGATCGCCTTGGCAATGTGCTGCTCCTCGCGGGTCTAAAAAATCAGAAATTTCAGAAAAATGGGAACTGTTGTACCTGTTGCTCAGCCAGCTGGCGACGGAGTTGATCAACGCGGAGATGAGCATGAGCGATTAGGGCGTTCAGCTCGTCCTCGTTGAGATGCTTGCCCTTGGCCTCCAGATCGACGGATGGGAGGATGCTCTTCACTTCGAGGGCGAATTGTTGGCGGGAGCGGTCGATGAGTTCCTTGTATTGGTTCAGAATCGAGGATTCTTGGCGAGCCTGAAATACGGGTTTACAACGTCGTAAAATCGGCAAAATCGACAAATCCAGAAAAATGCGGCAAAAATATTATTTTTAGTAAAAATCAAAAATAATATACGCTCTAATCCATACAAAAATAGCTTTTCTGAAACAGCTCTAAAACTAATAAAACGTTGCCCATTTCACCAAATTGTTCAGAAAATATAGAGAAAGTTACACCAGAAAATCTGTGCCAAAAACGCTTTATTTGAACCAGACATACAGCCAAATAGCTTTACCTTATGCGCCAAATTGTTCAGCTCATCCAGCTGATGCTGGAATTTGTTGGCCGACTCGAGCGTGTTGATCAACAGCGGATTCGAGAGCGTGACCGCGTCGGATTTGCCGTCGTTGATCACCTAAAAAACTTGTAAGGATAAAAAAGTATTCCTTACCGTTCGCAGCGTATCGATTTGATTCCTTCCCTCGACCTCGGTGCGCGAGTCGACAGCCGAGAGAGCTTCGACCCGTTGCAGGGCCTTCGTCACCTCGCTCCAGTCGCCGTTCTGCCCCGCGTCGACCGTCTTCTTCAGCAGCTCCGCGTGATCGTTGATTGCCTAAAATCTCAGACTTCGATCCTTTCGTCAAAACCATGATACTAGACTGTTAGCGGGGGGGGGGGGGGGGAGTTTATGGGGGCCGCATTTGGCCGTTTTTAAGTAAATAAAGTTCATAAAAAATCGTAAAAATGCCTCAAAAATTACCAAAAAAGCCAAAATTTTACATTTTTATGACTTTGGTAAATCTTTTAATAATAAAGACCGCTGCAACGCTATAAAAACGATTAATAACGCCTACTTTTCCTGCTATGTTGGTTAGGCTAGATAGCTTCCTTCCCCCCCGCGCTAACAGTCCGATACCAAAGCCATACCCTGATGGTCTCGAGCTTGGCCTCCGACGCGCGCTGCACGGTGACCTCGGCCGTCTTGAGCGCCTTCAGCAATCGCTCGTCCAATTCTGGAAAAAATCATCCGTGTAAAGCCAAAAACGCACTCTTATTCCTGGCGACGGCCACCTCCTCGTTCGGCTTGATATGGTTCAGCTCGGGACTTTTCTTGTGAATCTAAAGACAGCGATTAAACTCGAAGAAGGACGCTACATCAACGGCATCAACCTCGACGGCCTTCTTCTTCTGAATCGGCGGTGGCTGATGGACGGCCAACGGCGCTAGAACCTAAAAACCAATTATATCACACAAAAACACCAAAATTCACCTCCTCCTTCTTGGGCAAAATGTGGGCGGGCTTGTTGGGGGTCGTTGGAAGTGGTTGGATCCTAAAAAGACTGTTTTTCAAAGGGGAAAATCGACTACTTTTGAGGGGCGGGCCCGAGGACGGCGTCGAGGGCCTGCTTCACCGGCGGCACGTTCGTTTCAAGCTAAAAATCGTGTTATGCGACCAAAATTTCCGGAAATTTACCTTGTGCCTGAACTCGGGATCGAAATAGGCGTAGCCGACGGTGCCACCGACAGCGGCCGTCGTAAGGCCGAGGAACAGGCCGATGCCACTTCCGCCGCCGCCGCCACTAAAAAGTGTTATGAAGAGGGGATCCTAATGTTTAAAATGTTTAAATAAAAGTTGTAACATCTCAAAAATCACGTTTTAAATCTATCTAAGTTTTTACCCCCAATTCTGTCGATTCTCGTTAGAAGCACCAATTTGCCACAACAAACCCCTCAAGATACTCGAGATTTTAGGGCAAATCATCCTCTGTTTTCCTCATCTGGCAAGGAGTGGTTTTTCCGTGATATTTGAGTTTTTCTATGGGGAATAGCGCCTCCGATAAAGCTGGAAATTCTGAACAAATCCCGGTCTTGCAAAAATTTGCTCGGAAAGGGCAGTTTTTCCCATATTTAGCCCGTGCCAAACAAAATGCAAGTTTTAAGGGCCTTTTCTCACAGGCGGCTATCGTTGAGCATTCTGAAAGAAGGGATTTGTTCAGAATTTCGAGCTCTATCGAATAAGCTACACCACCTGAAGTGCCAAAACTGTACCCAGAAACGGGCGGTGGCACCGGGGGCGGTACGGGTGGAGGGACGGCATGCGTCGATTGGGAGCGGGCAGCGCGCAGTCCGCCACGAACCGATTCTTTCTAAACAAAAACGGTATAAAAATTACGCTGTCGTTTACCGTAGCTGCTCGCAGCATCTCCTCTCTCTCTTTGTTCTCTTTGCCTATCCCTCTTTGGTCAGCCGAGCAGCCGGAGGACACTTCCGGATATGATTACCTAAATTTTTTTTGATTTATTCCCGAAAAATAAACATAGAGAGGGCGAGGGAAATACACGCTTAAGAGAACGACGCGAAAACGAGCAAATATATAAGAAAACGGGGGCAGGGCATGAAATCAACGCTAGTATATATATCTCAACTATCTCAACTCAAAATCGGCCTGTTAAAAATGATACCGAAGAAATGGAGGCTTTAGACAATCGGAGAACCCTAATGTTTCGACAGGGAATAGATAGAACATATCGATCGATACAAGAACAGGGGTTCGGACGGGGGGAGTAGATGAACAAATTGACGAGGACGGGCAGTAATCATATTAAAAAGGTGACGAAGAAGAGGTAAAAACGGTGGTTTTTAGGCCAAAAATAATCTCGCTGTCAAGGTTTTTGACCAGAAAGGATCAAATTTGTGTTTTCGACAGCATAATAGGTAAAAAAAACCTTTTCAAGGTTTTTGGGCCAAAAAATTCCTGATTCACGTTGCAAAAATTAGTTATAAAACGTTATTTTCAACGCTTTTAGGCCAAAAAATCAACAAAAAGCGCTTTCTCTACACAGTAAAAAGGGTAAAAAACACTATTTCGAAGTTTTTAGGGCCAAAAAGTCATTAAAAAAGCTTTTTCTACAGTAAAAACCACCAAAAACACCCAAACTTCGTCACCCTTTTAATACAAAAAAAATCACAATCCGCGTAAATATCCGTTATCATCTTCTCCTCGCGCGTCTAGTGATGGTGGTGCACATAGTCGGGGTTGTACTCCTCGGCGTTCGGGTCGACGAACGTCTCGAACGAGTGCCAGTGGTCGTACCACAGATCCCGCCAGTAGTACTCGAACCACGGCTCGGGCAACGTCTCGAACACGCGCGAGTTCCACAGCCCGCCCATCTTGTCGCCCTTCTGCATGTTGTACCCGTAGCTGAACCGCGACTTCAGGATCTCCTTTTGCACCGTCTAAAAAAAGCGAATTTAACGTGAAAATAGAACAATTCTCACCTGCAAATAGTGGCCAACATCACGCGGGTTATAGTACAGCTCGCCGACGTCGGTGGTGTTGATGCCGTCAAAGGCGTAGAAGAGGGCGTTCATCTTGGAGGTGGTGTACTCCCTCCAGCCGTTCCACGTGATCTCGTCGGTCGGTAGATGCCATTCTTCGAACACCTCGCCCGAGTGCCACTCGAAGAAGTCCAGATCCGTCGCCTGAAAAAAAAAGGATTTTTAAAACGTCAAAAAAAAAACCTTTTACTTTGACATTTTTTGCCGAATTGTCCCCCGCGTACCCAAAATCCTGTTTTTACGCCAATAAAACCTTTTTATGAAGCTTTTAGCATAATTTACCTATAATTAAAGTAAAACAACGTTTGAAACGTCAGAACCTCATTACAAAGATCGAATCTCGGTTATTTTAGGTAAAAGACGCTATTTTTCCGATATAAAACTATATTTGAAGCGGAAGCACTGTCAGAAACGTTCCAAAATTTTGTAAAAATCTAAGTTTTCGCCATTTGAGGTGGAAAACCGATTTTCATCAGCCTAAAATTATATGTGCCGCAGAACAACCTTTTTGAAAACTTAGCGAATTCTTCAAAAATCGACATTTTTTGTCATTTTAGATCGGAAAAAGGATTTTTGGCCTAAAATTTTGTGGTTAAAACTCATAAAGCTTGTAGCTTGGTAGAACTAAAAAACACGGTTTGGGACGAAAAAGCAACGGAATTTTCGCAATTTTAGCTCCAAAACGGTCTTTGACGTAAAATGTCGATTTGCTATTAACAAGCCCTAAAGATCAAAACTGCACCTCAATATCCTCAATCACCGAATCCACATCGGCCGGGTTGGTCCAGTCGAACGCCAGAATCTTGGAGTGCTTCCGGTATTCCCTCAACGAATCCTTGTACGATTCGTTGATCGTCCCGAGATACGTCTCATCCAGCGTCGCGATCTCGTTCACATTCCCGCGCTTCCGAATATTCTCCATGCACTTGGCCACCGGCACATCCAGGTAGACGACCAAATGGGGCCAGAACTCGAGCTTGGGCAGGGCATTCTTCCTCACGTAGTAGTAGTACTTGAAGAATTCCGGACCGACGAAATTGCGGGCCCTCATTGCGTTGGTGAAGACGAAATCGGAATGTGGCGCACGCTCGAGCACGACACCCTGGCCGGTATTCATGATGTGAGCAAGAGCATTGAGGTATTGCTCGAAACGGCACTGGAAGAGACGCTCTTGCATCGCCGCCGACAGCTCGTCCATGGGGTTCTTGTAGAACATGTTGATGTCCGGCATACGGAAACGCTTCGGGAACAGGTGGTAGAAGTTCCTGAAAAAAAAGATATTTTGCGTGAAAATTGAGAAATACCTATAGTCATTCCCATAGCGATCGACGAGAATGTCGTCCATCTTGAATTCGGGCATGTGGTAGAAGCCGAGCTGGTCGGCGAGCTGCTTGGCCAGCGTGGACTTGCCGGAGCCGATGTTGCCCTCGATGACGATCAGGCGAGAGTTTTGGTGGAAACGAGGCTGCGTGCGGTCGCATAGAGCATCCGAATACTGAAAAGGAAACGTAGAATGCGACGAAAAAACAGCCAAAAAACCTCATAAACCTAGTTTTATTCAGTCAAAGAACATGGTTTTCACGACCAGTATTTCAGCTAGACAAAAATCGGCCTTTTTCAAGCTCAAATGGTGTCATTTCGATGCTATACGTTCTTGGTAAACTGCTGAACTCCTAGGTTCCTCTCCAGAAGAAACGTGGTTTTTTCGGTCAGAGTTTTTGCAAAACAAAGGAAAATAGCGGTTTTTCAAGTTATAAACTACTTTTACTATCCAAATAACCCCGTTTTGATACTTTTTAAAATTAACCATTACCTTGAAACCCTTGTTCTTATAATCCCAAGGTTCGGGGTACCCCTGAGGGAGATGGAGGATGGACTTGTGAACGACACCGCGCTGCTGCTGGCCCTTCCACGATGTGGCCTGGGTGGCCAGGGCACCGACCGGGTTCAGCAGCCGACGGGCCGCCGTCGTCACCTTGTCATACACCACCATCCGGCCCTGAAAAAGATGAAAATAAATCGAATAAATACAGCAAAGTAAACCCAGAGTATCGAAAACGTAAAGGAAAAGCGGAAAACGAAAAGACAAGAAAACTACGCTTCCAGTGGTAAAAATGCAGTTTTCTAAGAAGTTTGTTCCGGGAGAAAAGGTAATGAACAAGGTAGAATAAGATAAGAATATGTTTATGACAAGTTTTTACTTTTATTGCCAAGAAACACAGAAAGTAACCTTCTTTTACAACGAAGTTTATCAGCGTTTTTTGGCGGTTCAAACCCCGCAGAAAACCAAAACTTCAAAAGTAGCTACTACCTTATCAGATCAACAATAATAAGAGTGGCCTAAAACAGTACAACCTTCAAAACTAATCAAGCTTTTAACATTTGTATACATTTTGCGATTAGCCGGTGGAAAGCGCACAAAGCGCGCCAGCAAAGTGTACGCGCATTGTGCAAGGGACAGCTGGCGCGCTCTCGAATTCCCCAAACTCTAACTCCTCAAAGACAAGAAAAAAAAGGAAAGTTTGACGTTTCCGGTTAGAGAAGCCGAAAAAATGCTGAGAAATCGAAATTGGTGATAAGAAAATAACTTTCTGAAAAAACCCAAAATTCCGTTCCACGACAATACAAACAACGCCTAATCGTTTAAAGGGTTGGCGCGTTTCGGAATTTGATTATAAGAAAATGGATAGGCAATTTTTGGGGCCCAAAAAGTGTCAAGCGACGAAGGTGTCTTTTGTATTTTTTTTATGAAATTTGGTATTATTAAGTTAGTACTATTTTCTATAGTGTTACTCTTCCAGGAGTGTTTGGCCTTTATTGATAGCAGAAATCCGGGTTTCTTTGGAGTCTTATAAAATCGCGGATTTTCCGATTAATTTTTGTACAGATTTTTTCTCCGTATTATTAGATCTATTAGGGGCGACGGAGCATGTCGACATCTTCCGGAATTTTAGAGCTTGAAAATCTACCTGACGGAAACGCGGTTTCGCAGCGCAGGTACGATTGCACAATTCATCACCATCGATCAGAAATTATCATCGGTTCCCCCCACCGAACTGTAGCCAGATCTTTGGAGCAAAAAATGGCAGGAATTTGAGCACGATCTCAACTCGATTGGCGCGATTGATACCTTTTCAGTCAAAACAACGCGCAATCTTTTCCGTTTTGAGCGCCATTTCGAGTCGTTCTGATGAGTCAACGGTAATCGATCTTCTCGCTACAAGCCGTCCATTTTCTTGCACCGGAAAATCATGGTTGCGCCACGGATTTCACAACATGCCTCATATAAGTGCTGGCAGGTCAACGGGGGCTGTTCAGAATTTCAAATCTATTCTTTGGTTTTGTTGTTACTTCATACTTTATAGAATTCCCGGATATCTCAAGTTATACGTATTACCACCGCGCTTTCCATGGCAATTTCGTCGTTTTTCGTAATTTTCGTCCATCTTATAGAGATTTTTGACTTCTCAATTCCTTTAAAATGCGTCAGGCTCACTTAGGCTACAGTTTGATACTTTTTACTTACGGCTCCGGTAAATTTCTAGATAGTTTGGGGGTGCCATGCTATTTTTCTGGGTTTCTACTTAGACTTTAGTATAGATTAGTCTTGCTAGTGCCTTTAAAACATCCAGTAGTGGTTTGAACTACGCTTCTACAAGAAATACGACGATTTTAAAGAAATTTTACTGGGTTTTCAAAGATTCTAGGGGTTTTTAAAGAGTTGTTATACATTTCAATGGATTTGATGACTTTATGGCTATTTTAGAATCGAATTTTATCAAAATTACGATCGAAAATTGGTTTTATAGCTTTGCTTGACTTGCCATTCCCATTAAAAGGTCCCCTGATGTAATTTCTGACCCCTGGGATCGATGAATCGACCCGATGACCCAATTCTGGCCCCTGTTAGTCGAACACTTTAGTGCTGAATTTCCCGATAAGACGCCATTTACGCCCAGAAACTGTAGTTTTGACGTGGTTATCTGCTATCTCGAGGCATCTTGGCATCTGCCCCCATCTGCCCAACCGAATAAATGGACGGCAAAATGAGTCATGGCCATCATTCCATTCCCCCACTTCACTCCCAAACACCCAAAAAACACACCTTGTCTTCTAGTGGCGTTTTCTTAGGGCCATAGAATTTGGAATTGATCTATCAAGATCCCATCTTCTTGACCTTCGGAAAATACACCCAATTCCAGTTAAATCTATAATAAATATCAGGCCATTTAATTAAAATCAATCCTCGTGAACTATTACGTCGGCTGGGTAGACCTGTCGCCAACTGAATTTCAGGCGTTCCTTGTCCCAAAAACTTTAATTTAGTCAAAATTTTGCCCAATATTTTTCATTCTTGCTTTCAAACTAATCTCTATTCATATATTAAAGCTTAAGTTTCCCAAACTTGTAGTTTTGCAACTTTTCTCTTAAATAATCTAGCCTTTTCTGAAAATTATGCTAAATTCATTTTAAAACTTTCAAATATTCGAAATGCCATTTGCTTTTAATCGTTAAATTTTTGTTGAATATTTATTTAAATTAAGCTACAATTAATATTCTCATTTTTTGTAGCGCATTAACTAAAAGATCTAGCCTTTTTCTTAAAAACGGCTCAATTTATTTTGTAAAAAATCATAAAATGTCCAGATTTTGCGTTTCTTGTCATTTTCCTTTTTTAATTCCTCAATTTTGTTGAATTTTGTGTCCTAATTAAATGAATATTCCGAGAATTTTGTAGAAAAGAATGTCGGCCCCGTGCTCATCGTCTGCCCCCGAGCCTGTGGTCACCCGTTTCGTGAAGCTGGAGAGTTCGGATGGCAAGGAATTCCAAGTTCCCCGGCAAGTGGCCGGAATGTCCGGAACTGTCAACACTCTTCTGCAAGATCTCGGATTTGATGATGCCGAGACTGGAGACTCCGCCCCGATTCCGCTTCCCAATGTCGATGCCGTCACCCTCGAAAAGGTAGGTGTCACAGCACCTTTAAGAAGGTTTAAAATAGCTCAAAAATGGTCTTTTTAGCTTTCTAAAAATTATTTAAACTCTAAAAAAGATGTGTTTGTCTTTAGAATAGCCCTTAAAAACTAAATGTTTTTAAAAGTTTTCAAAAAAAGATAGAATTTTTTAATTTTAGAGTTTTTAGCTTTTTATAAATTCTAAAATAAGCTTTTTTTGTCCAGAATATAACTTTGAAAAGTGTTAAAATTACTTAAATATAAACTAATTTTTCTAAAAATTATTGCAACTTAAAATACTGTATTTTTAAGTTAAACACTTCAAAAACCCATCTAAATTATAATAAATGAATATTTATCATAATTTAATCAACTAAAAAAAAACAAAATAAAACTACAGGTTCTAAAGTGGTGCGAATACCACAAGAACGACGCGCCGGTCGTGGAGGCTGATGACATCCGATCGAGGCGCACTGACGACATCACCCCCTGGGATCAGGAATATCTGAAGGTCGACCAGGGAACGCTCTTCCACATCATTTTGGTAGGTCACAAAACAAATTAGCACATTTAAAAGTATTGATTGGCTGGCAAAATAACTGTATTTATGCCTATCAAGCCAGTTAAGCTAAAAAATTCATAAGGAAATTTCTAAACCCGTCAAACTGCAAATTTCAACTTTTCTGGGCTATCTGGCAGCCATTTGATCGATTTTGGCACCTTTATCCTTTTTAAAGAGTTTAGTCCTCAAAATACGCAAAGTTTAGCATGCTTTTTGGGCTGTCTGACAGTCAGTTGACCGATTTTGATCTTCTAATTCCTTAAAAATCGCTTAAGTTTTCAAATCTAAAATTTTGAATGCTATTTTTGGTGAAATTGGATACCAGTTTACAGTTTCTAAAAAGCTCAGTCCTTTAAAAAAACCCTAGAACTTTTTCTAAACATAATTTGCCAGTAATTTACCAACTAGAAAAGCTGAAAGTGTTCGCAAAATTCATGAAAATCTCTATCAAAAGCGATATAAATGGTGTTATTTACTGTGATACTGTTATTTATGTTACGCTAATTGGCAGTCAGCTTACAGTTTTAAAATAGTTTAGCAATTTAAAACCGGCAACTAATTTTATCAATCCAAATTTACGGTGATTTGCCTGCCAGAAAAGACAGATCCACCCAAGGAAAAATTAAACCTAATTCAAAAAATAACTTTTCAGGCGTCGAACTACCTGGACATCAAGGGTCTTCTGGATCTGTGCTGCAAGACAGTGGCCAATATGGTCAAGGGCAAGAAGGTCAAGGAAATTCGAACGCTCTTCAACATCAAAAATGACTGGACCGAGGAGGAAGAGGCTCAGATTATTCGCGAGAACTCCTGGTGCGAGGATTAGAGCGATTTTCAAGAGATTTTCGAGCTTTCTGAAGCTCCTTCTTTTTTGTGGTCTTACCGTATTAAAAATCCCCCCTAGTGTCTTGATTTTTTACCATTTATCGCTTTTCCAATCCCCAATCTGATCAATTTGTTCTACCGGTTACTCTCCTCCCGATTTCACTTTTACCTCCTGGTGTGCCTTTTCTTGTAGAAATAAATCTTGTAAACACCCAAAAATTTGTAAAAGTGATGAAATATAAAATAAATACCGTAAATCAACAGGATTAGAATTTTGTGAAGACGAAATTTGAAAAAATCACAATTTTCCTGATTTTTCGTGATTTTCAATTTTTTTGCAAAGTTTTGTAGCTTGGATGGACCTTACTAAACAATTTAATCAAAAACCTTTATATATAGTAGGAAAATAAAACTAAATACAGGAGCCTAAATTCGCAAAAAAGTCTATCCAAGTTTTGAAAAATGTTAGACAATTGAATTTTTGAAAATTTCCGGATTTTGACCATTTTTGAGCACAAAAAATTTTTAAATTTGTGGCTATTGTATCTACTTGCAAATGTTTTCAGCAAAAAATGGGCCAGAAATATTTATGTACATCTCAATACAACTTAATACATCGAAGAAACTCGTTTAATTAAAGGAAAAATGGCTTCTAGATACAATTGTGTCGATAGTAAGGTCGCGTAGTCTGTAGTCTGTTGCCGGACACTTCTAGACCCTCTGAAAATGTAGATTGTTAGTCAGTTAGCCGGATTAAAGGGGGAAAAGCCAACTAAAGCGGTGACTACAAACTACAAAAGCGTACTATTTATTTGTCTTTGTTGAAGAGTTTGAAAGTGACCTTTCCCTCGCCTTCTCGTCGCGGGTGCGCCAAGTGATCTTCCGTTTGCTCCTTTGGTGGCACTCTGGAAAAATAAGGAATTAAATTCGAAGCCTATTTAAACACTCTAATTTAATTCTAAAAAGATTGCAAAAATTAGAAATTTCGGAATTTCAGAGAAATGAGTTTTGAATTTTTTTAATTTTTCGTCCGTTAAAAAGTATTCAATCGTTTAAATTTTATAGAAGGACGGTAAAAGCTAAATTAGACAGATTTTAAAGATGGATTCGTCTTGAATAAGTTTAAAATCGTTGCAAAAACGCACAATCCCTCCTTCTTGTCCATCAACGTATCGTAGGCGTCTTTCGCTTTTCCGACGCTCATGCTCACCTAAAAAAGATACTTTAATAAATTGCTATTTTGCGGCTTGCAGAAAGACAAAAATTTAATTAAAATATGTTTAGTTAATTTCTATAAAATTTCATCGATTTTAAGGCAAAAATACCGGCAAAAACGAACCGGTGTGGAAGCAGGGGCTGGCCTGAAATATTGATATCCCATATATCCAGCAGTCGCCACGGCAGCTCCTCCAAGAAGCAATTTTAGAGCACCGCCATTACTAAAAATAAAAACATATTTAAATTTGCTGATTTTTTTTATTTTTACAGCTTCGAAACTCTAAATTTTCATATAAATTCGCTAATTTAACAGAAAAATCGATACTTTAAAGCGAAAATTACGTATTTTCGGCCTTTTTGAAAAGGGTTATTACAAGCTGCCATCCACTGAAGGTTTTGGCACATTTTTGAGAAACTTTACCTATATTTTTTATTATTTGATGTGACTAAACTCGGAACTGTCAGACAAAATCGCTATTTTTGGCAGAAAAATCGATATTTTCAGCAAAAAAATAGTTTATGCGACGTTTAGAGTTTAAGCTACAAACTGTCAGACTAGAAATATTTTACGTTAGTTATTTTTTAGTAAATTAAACGCGGCCAAACTCTAAACCGCTAGCCAAAATCGCATTTTTTAACAGAAGCATCGAGATTTTTGGACGGAAGTCACGATTTTTATTATTTTATAGAGTTCAAGCTACAAACTGCCATCCAATAAGCTAAATTTTGCATGAAAATCAATAATTCATACCCGGGTGGTGAATTGGTGGGGGGTGGTGGTGGTGCAGCGGCGGCGGTGGCACTTTGGCTTCGGCGGGAGGCCATCTTCAGGCCGGATTTCTAAAAAATCAATAAATTCATCGATTTTAAGGCCTTACCGTAGCGTTGCGGAGCATTTTTCAGTAGTTTTTAGCGTGAGTTGCGCTTGCTATCTAAAAAAAATCGATGATTACATTAATTCTAGTCAGCAATTGACCAGAAAACAGAAAATAATTTTTAAAAACTGTAAAATCAAGAAAATTCACGGATTTACTTCATAGTTAAGCAAACTGACGTACATTTGTCATTCTTAGAAGACTCAATCCTAAAAATTTCACTAGGTTAAGTACAAACCACGCCAAAAGGCTGCTTTGACTGCCAGATTAGATGATGCAAAGACTCAATCCTCAAAAATTACGGAAATTGGGCTACAGACTATATCAACAGCTTGAATGTCAAGTTAGATGAAGCTGAATTTCTGAAATTCGTTAAAATTGAGCTACAAACTACGCCACAAGTTGCATTGACTGCCGGAGTAAATGATGAAATCACTGAATCCTCAAAAATTAAGAAATGGAACCGAAAAATTAAGTGAAAGCGTTAACTGGCAACCAACTAGACTGAATCGATGCTTTTCGTCTGGTAGAGAATGAGCGGCGGTTGTTGTTGGGGGGCAGAATGCACTTTTTGGACACGCGGGGGGACCCGGTAAACATGTTGACGACTGGGGGAGTGATGGGAGAGAGCATGAGAGGTCGAGTGACGCAGAGAAAAATCGCTAAAAATCGAGAGAGAGAGAGAGAGAGAGAGAACGAACTCCTGGGGTTTTGTCATTTGTTGTGATAAGTATTGGTTTACTACCATGAAGGCTTTTGAGGGCCACCGTACTCAAAAATGTTTGTTTGCTTGGACTTTATTTTGTGGCTTAAGGACCAGTGAAGTCATCAGTCGCATTATGAAAATCGATAATTACCTTAGTTTGCGACTTCGATTGCAAAAAAATTTGATTTTTTGACGTTTTTTCGAGATTGAGTTGTCGATTTGTCGAATTTTGCTGTCCCTGTCCCTTTAAATTCGTCAGGTACGCCTTTTTGCGAAAGAAATGTTTAATCTGTCAGCCAATCAATTAAATCGCCCTATAAAGAGTGGATGAAGCTGGCGAAGCTACAAACTACAAGATTCCGAAAATGCACGCGTTTTCCCTGTCACAGCCCCTTTAAAAACGCAAACTGCACAATTTTTACGAATAGAAATCTTTATTCTGTGCATCAGTAAAGCCAATGAATGTGAAAATAATCAATAAAATAGGATGGAATACAAACTACAGGGCGGCTGAAGGGCCGGCAGCGGCTGTTTCGGCAAGGGCGGCCATCTAAAATTTGAATTTTTCTTGTAATTTTGATGTATTTTTGGTTTTTCTGGATGCCAATTCACCCGGTTTACGATCGAAAATACGCTTAGCTTTTCTAATTACCTTTTTCTATTGACAAAACTACCAATCCTCCCCGGTCTCTAACAATGTCGGCAGATCTTCGTCTATTTGATGTTCGGCCTGGGCGAATTTAGCATAGATTTTTTGATTAGGGTGACAAGGGTGGAAATATGAACAGATATTGGCCAGAGTGGGTGTCAGAAAGCCGAATTATTGGGGTTTAAAGGGATGATGACACCAAGATTTTTCGAAAGATCAGGGGTTCTAGGTAAAATTTCGTGCTAAAAATTCAATTCGGCAGGCAGAAAAGCGTTTTTCTATTTTTGAAAGCAATTTGAAGCTTTGTTATGTAGCCTAAATTCAAAAAACTTTATTTCCAGCAGTCATCATCCCTTTAAAACCCTCGAAAAAGCCAGGTGAAACCTTTCCAAAATTCCCGTAAATTACCTCTCCCGCTTTGTCAGCCGGTGGCTCCTTTATTGTGATTGCTGGTGGGACGCTAAAAATGCCTGGGGTTACGGTAGAAATAATTTTACATGCTTTTATTCATCGCCGAATCGATGGCCTCTTTAGTCTCGGGAATTGGGCCTTTATGAGCGGAGATGTCACGCTGAAAATGAGAGCGATACTGTAGCTGGGATTTCCAAAATGCCGATTTTCCGGAACGCTGCTAATGACGGCCGGTGTATTTTGTAGCTTTCCGGAAAGATAAGAAGCAGATTTTCCCGAATGCGGGGAAGAAAATATTGCAAATAGCGTTTTCGCATTTTCGGAAAGCTGCTACTGACGGTCGGTGGAATTTCTAGCTTCCAGGAAAAGCGAAAATCCGCAAAAAAATATCATAGGGGTACGGTACTACACAGGACTACGGTAGATATTTATTTATTCTAAACAACAACACTACGAAGCACAACAAATGACAGACGAAGCGAGAGAGACAGAGAGAGAGAGACAGAGAGATAGAGAGACAGAGAGAGAGAGAGAGAGAGAGAGAGAGAGAGAGAGAGAGAGAGAGAGAGAGAATCTTTAGCAATGCCCATTTTTTTACAGTAACCCGTCTCACGGTAGCGAATTAAAGCTAAAAAAATTTTTACAAAAGTTTTCACAGGTTAAATTTTCGAAAATTATATTTTTATTTTTTTGTAAGTTTGAACTGAATTTTCGTATGTTTAGGTGTGACGATCCCTTTAGGGAACAGATGAGATAAAAATGGAATGTTTCAAGAATAAAAGAAACATTAATAGAATGGCAAAAGCGAGATATTTGGAGGCGAAATGAGAAGAAAAGATTTCATTAAAAAACGGCGGTATCCGTACCCTATATTGTCTCAATTGTTGTCCCCTCAAATATCCATATCCAAAGTAGCCGGCTGTACTCACGGCAGCCGCGCCAAGAAGGAATTTCCCGGTATCGGAGCTGAAAAATCGAACACTGAACATTTTAAAGGAACTTGAAAACCGGACCAATTTTTAATTTTTAGCAGTTTAAATAAATTGTTCCGATCGCTAGATAAAATGAAGGTATCAAAATCTATATAATTTCGAAAACACAAAAAGGCTGCATTTCAGAGAAAAAAATTAAAATACACTTAAACTTCGTGTAACTAAATAGCGCTTTTAAAAATATTTTCAAGTTGAAAAAGAATCACTAGAGCTTAAGCTGTTCAATTTAAAGAATTTTAAGACGTCCAAAATTAAAAAAATTTTTGTTTAAACCCACATCATTGGCATTTTTCCTCCCGGCGGTGTGGTTCCTAGCCCGGGCATCGCATCCACCGCTTTCGTCGTTTTATGCAAATTTCGGACGGCCGGTCGGAGTTGGGCATTCTGAAGTAATAATCGTATTTTTTGGCTGTCAGATTGCTTACCGACGCTGCTCGCAACATTTTTCAATCTTCTAATTTTCTAGAAAAAAATAATTTTGAAATATCACGGCCAAAAAACAGGTAGAAACGACCGGATGGCAACCAGTTAACGGGAAACCCAAATAAAAATGTTTAAAAAACGTTTATTGCACTACAGCACTCAAAAATCCCGTATATACAGAGTAATTACATTACTATTTACAGTACGTGGCTATGCAAGACAGAATAAACTACAGTAGCTACTGTAGAGATAGCTTATTCATTCGGAGCGGTCTGGACGGTTTTCTGCTCTTCACGGCCCTGGGCTTTTGCACGCTCAAGACGATTTCCGGAAGACTGAAAGCGAATTTTCGGAAAATATTGATTGGAAATTCGGAACTGGCAGACAGATAGATGAATAAATTCAAAAACGACCAAATTAGCATCCAGGTAGACGTATAGGACGAGGGAATGGGAGTCAGATAGACAAATTGACAGACAGACAGAGCGGCATACATACAAAAAGATAAACTGACAGACAGACGCATCAAATGTTCAAAACAATCGTCAGACAAAAAATGGTAGAATTTCCATCCGGTTAAATTGTTATAACCGTCGATTAGCGGACAGACAGACAAACGAACCGATCAACAGACAAACTCGTGTATAGCTGACGAATAAAAATGCCGAAAAGCTCTTGAAACAAAAAATGGTGAAGCTACTGTGAAGAAAACAATGGATTGGCAGACAGATAGATATACCAAACGACAGACCGGGCGGACAGATAGACAAACTGTCAGACAAACATACTGACAGACGCACCAATACTCTAAAAAAACTTACCGATTGCCTTCCAGGGCGATAGTAAGCATATGCTCCTCCTCCAGCTACTGTAGCAGCCAACAGACCGAAAAGGAGACCGTTTTCCTTACTAAAAATATTTTGAGAAATTTTAGCAATTTTGAAAATGATTTGCTTAACTAATTTCAGCTTTTGAAGTAATGGAAAAACCTTTTTCTCGCTTTTTTTTGGCCTTCGTTTTTTCAAAATTGAGAAATTCACTGTTTCTAAAACTGTGAGAAAATGTGATTTTTTTACCAAATTTAAGTTAAAAATTAAGCCAACCTCCTCATGGGGGCATTGTAGCTGAACATTTTATCGGTGGTGCTGGCCGCGTTTCGGCAAGCGACCGTTGCCACTTTTCTCTAAAAACTGCAAAATTCTAAATAGGGCATTTGAACGTACCACTGGCAACATTTTCGGATGATTTTTTGGTTTCTAAAGGTATGTAATTCCTTAACATTACAATCAAGGCTAATTATGCGGAAATTCCATGGTTTTTCAACCAATTAATATGGGATCTCGTTGCAGTAATATTCGGAAAAAACTCGTTTATTCTCTTGGAATGCCAAAAGTGGATACGGTAATTACATTTCTATACAATTTTTATGCAAATTGATTGTCATTATTGGTGTGGTGAATGGTCGATCGATTCACTCTCTCACTGCTTACATTCGGGGAGCCTGAAAAAGGTGATTGAAGAATTTAGATAAATGATTTCATTTTTAACTATTTTTAGCAGCTTATTTTAGCGGTAATTGCTTAATCCATTGTAAAAATATTATTATAAAAATATTCATTGAAGGGGAAATTCCGCGCCTGAAAGGTACCATTCAAAAATCGGATTTTTTAGAGATTTTTGGGTTTTCCCAAGCGATCCCTGCTAGCCTGCTCTTCAGTTAAAATTTTACGATAGTTTTTACAAATCCATTTCCGGTATTTTTTTGAAAAAATTGCAAAAAGTGACGCTTCAGCTCTCAATCTCATCATGTCACTCCCCCCTTAAACCAAGATCCCCAAGAATCTCGGCTACGCACCGCTCCCTGGTTGGGTGTATTTGCATTCTGCTGCTGTTGTCGGCTGACATTCTGGCCAGTCTTTTCTTTCTGAGCATTCTGGAAATGGACAATCTTTGCAGCAGCGTTTGGGCAATTCTGAGCTCAAAAAAAGCTAAAAACGCCAAAAAACCCGACTAATTTTGAATTTTTCGAACATTTCGACCCTTCCCCAATGATTCCCGCTAACCCTGGCGTTTAGCTAGTAGTTTTCGATGGTTTTTACTAATTATTTATCGGTTATTTTCGATAAAACGAAAAAATGTGTATTTTTGGCCGCGGAATTCCCCGTGTCACGCTCCCTTTAGACCCCAAATTCCTCAAAAATCTCGGCTACGTACCGGTCCCTGATTGGTGGGTGTGGCAGCATTCTGGCCCTTCTGGCCAGCCTTGTCCTTTTGGGCATTTTGAGCCGCGTCAAGTCCCTCCTTCTGGCCATGCTCCTTCGATTCCTCCTTCTCCTTGTGGAGCTTGGCATCGGTGTGCTAAAGTGTTTTATATTATTAACTGGCTGACAGTTTAGAGTTTTTCGGTTTCCAAATAGTCTCTTCTAGCTTACCCAGAAAATTTGATAGCTTTTAGACGATTTTCGTCAAATTTTACGAGATAGTAGTCGATTCCGCAGGGTTTTTTTGCCGGCTTGCCTCGCCCTGCGATGTCATTGTTTATCGTTGCGCTCCCATTGAACCGCGTCCATTCCCCAATGATCTCTGCTATGTTCCACAATGGTCTCTGCTGGTTTGCGATTTTGAGCGATTTTAGACGATTTTAGGCGAATTCCGCAAAGATTCTCTGCTGGCCTGTCTATTTTTGTCCATTTTCCCCATGAATCCCTGCTAGTTGTCTACCAACCTTTCCCCTTCCGGGCCTCAAATAGGCATAAGCTCCTCCTCCAGCCACAGCAGCAGCCAACAGTCCATAAACCATGTTATTGTTCGCTTTTCCGGCCATCGGCTGGTTGAAGCCTTGTCCGGCTGGGGATTGGCCGACCTGTCGGACAGTCATCACGGCGAGACGCTTCTAAATAAATTAAAATAATTTGAAACCATTTAATTGAATTTTTTTCTTGTATTTTAAGTCTTTCAAAAGTTTAAATTAAGTTACAGCAGCATTCATTTCGGTAGTAGTCGGGTGTTTTAAGCGGTTGAGATATCTGCAATTTTATTATGCGTCTTTTTAAGGGGGTGAAAAATCACAGAAAATTAAATAAATGCACTTTTAAAAGGCAAGCTCATCAAAATGGAATGTGACCGTCTATTCAAAAAAGGTGTTAATTTTTTTAAGTTTCAGAAGCTCTACAGATTACCACCACTAGAAACTAGTCAAAATTAGCAAAAATTCAAAATCAAATAAGTTGTTGGTAAAAAGCCAAGAAAAATAGATACAGCCTCCAAGCTACAAATTCTAAATGCCTGTATCGAAAAAAAGTTAGTAAGCCACAAAAATAAACAAAATACTCAAATCAAGCAGATCTTACGCGAAATGCAAGCAAACTACAAGTTCTAACAATATATAGACAACTGTACATCAGACACAAGTAAAAACTGAGGCCAAATCCCCAAACTACAGGCTTCAAATGCTTCAGCCAAATCGAAAGGTCAAAACCACAAGCTGCAAATTCAAACCGGCACAGCAAGCAAGCAAACAAAGTAAATCCAAAAACATAAGGTTAGATAAAATACACGGGGATAAGCTGAAGCCAAATCCACAAACTACAAGCTACAAATTCCGCAGGTCGTGCTCCTCCTCGTGCTCCTCCTCCATCTCGAACACCTCGACCATCTCCTCATCTTCCATGTCCAGTTCTCTGGGCGTCTCCTCGTCTTCTACCTCTTTCCCTCGATATCGAAATCTGATTCCATCTCGATTTGCGTCAGTTTTCTTTGAATATGATTGTTTTAGACTGCCAATCGGTTCCTCATAATCTAACATCAATTCGATTGTATCGGCCGAGGATTGGCTGACGAGGCGTACGCGGACATTCATCGGCTCATCAGGGGAGATCATGCTTTAGAACGGGTAAATAGCTTTCAAATAACTAATTATAAGCACACAGGGGAAATGGCACGCAAAAAATGTTATAACTATTAAAATAAACATTCACAAAGCTTAGAACTGCTACAATTAAACCAATTATCTATTTACAGCCCTGACTGACTAAAATCACAAGCTTCCAAATGGCAAAAAAGAATCAGTTCTATTAAAAAGTCTTTGCCTAAAAATCTAAATCAAACTAGTTACATTTTGACGGCCATATTTTGCTGTATGTTATGTTTTTTAAAAGGCAAAAAGCACTAGAAGATTTAAAAAAGCACAATTTAAAAAGACCTTGGCTTCCTAACATTCCTAAAATAAGACAATTTATTAGATTTCAAGTTTTTAACTGTCAAAAAGGATTAGAAACAAGTAAAAAACCTTCCACCGCGTAGAACCCCTAAAAATCGGCCAATTTACTCTTTTTCGAGCCCCTAGAAACGCAAAAAATGACGCTTTTACACTTTATACAATCCCCAAAAACTTTAAATATATTATGGCAAAACTTATCGTCATTAAAATAGAATAACGAACTGTTCTATCACGTTTAAAACTTCAAAAACTACTAAACTGACTCAAATAACAGCCAAACCACGCGTTTACCACCCAAAAACCCCGAAAACATCATGACATCAGGATTAGCAAAGTGTTTTGATTGGCATGAATAGAGGGGAGGGGAGAGATGGTACGCGACTATCCAGTATCTATCTGCCGAATGAAAAATAAGAAATGGTAGGGGAGGGGACTGGCTGGGGCGGTGCCTCCTCCCTTCTACGCCACGCCCATTCAAATGCATAGATTTTCGGCAATTTGAGGCGAAGGCTACGGGGCGCTACACGGCACGTACGTGCCACGACGGCAAGCAACATTCGGTTCGAATGTTTTAGATGGGTAATCGGACAGGCAAATGTAAAAGATAAGTGAAATAAAATAGAATTTGGCGATAGAATCACTACCAGGCGTTTCCTTTTACTTTCTTACTACAATTTGTGACAAAAGGATAGGTGGCTCGACTTTTTTCGTAATTTTCTCAGCTATTTGGTATGTAGGCATCCTGACCTGTAGCTCGTTTTGTAGCCCGAAAAAAGGCGAATTTTTTGGTATACTGGACAAGCCTTAACGATGAAGTAGCAGATTTTTATAAGCATTTTAGGTTTTCACCAGGCTATCTCATTCCCAGGGCCGTTCGCTACACACCAATACAAACGACCCTCAAAAGCCCGGCACATCACAGAAAATTCAAACGAAATAAAAAACGCCTTCGTTTTGATACTTTTTGAACTCAGTTTTTTTAGTTCTTAGTATCATTAGACTCGCCGTCTCCCATTCTATAAAGTTGGAACAAGCTTTTTTTAAGTTAGGTCTTATCTTTCAAGATATAAGCCTCCAAAGTTTGGGCCCCATACATTTTCTTGACGAATGGAGCGTCGCGTTGCTTAGGCCTTTATTGCCGCTAATTTTGGGCGTGACGCGTAAACAAGTCCTCAAAGGGCAAAACCACCGCCTAGACGACGAGTCGATCGTGTTGGGAAATATTGTTGACAAGGCGCCCAAAGCGTTGCGAGTCGTTGGTTCTTTGAAAAACGCATTGATGCTTCAGCCGAACGCTTAAAGTCCGTAGTTTTGCAAGCGTTCGCCCTAGAAGTATGGGTTTCAAGCTCAAAAAACGCATAGAAAACCCATTTTAATGTTTTAAATTAAAATTTAAAAACAAGAAAACTGCTATTGGTCCCACGAAGACACGTTTTCATCGATTGAGATACCGTTTCATGCTTTAAACAGCATGGAAAATTGGTCTAAAAATGGATTTCCGCTGAAACAGGTCTAAAAAGTGTTTTTAACAGGCCCAGGCTAGAAAACAACACGATTTTTGATAATCTACAAAATTCTAAGCATTCGCATGGTGATAAATAATCCCTTTAACCGAAACACGCTAAATCGTAGTAAGCGACCAGATGCGGCTTGTCCTTTGAAAAACACCTTCCCGATTGATGCGCGTTCAACGTATCGTTTGATGCTTTAAAGGGCTAGTTCAGCCAATAAAACAAAAGAATTTCCGCGGTCAGGAGTCGAACCCTCTCTGCGTTTTTGTGTCTGCGCCTCTCCCTTTTCCCCAATCTCTAATAGCTGGCGTAATGGGGGACTGGTCGGGCACACTGTGCCTACGTCCATTGTTTCCCAAGGTACCAGCCCAAGCTCTAAAAGTTGAACCAGCCCTTTAAACGCCCTGGAAATCTGCCTAAAAACGAATTTTCAGCTCTTAAAACCCAAAAAATCATGCCGGCGTCATAAAAATCGATTCAAAAACCATTACCATTTATTGACATAAACACAACCCTTTGCAAGGAATACTGAAAGAGAGGATATACCTGGACCAGAGAAGGCGAGGGAATGAATGAAAGCACTGACAATGAGATGAGAAACAAATATAACAACTAGCCCAGTAATTAATTGTTTGTTTGTACACACCATATACAGATACAGACAGATACAGACAACATACACACAGCCATTTCAGATGACAATCAATCAGTGGAGGGATGGATCATTTGGTTGATGGAAGAGGAGAAGAAGAAGAAGAAGCAGTAGTGATGTGATGGTAGTCGTCAGTTCAATCGTGGCGCGTCTCCTCGGGCTGGAAAAATAAAATAAGTTTCAGGAAAAGGGGTTCTTTCGCAATAACGGGGGGCATGTTTTTCTAGAAAGACCAGAATAACCTAGAAACTAAATAGAAAGTAATTGTAGTATTTTTAGTAAATCGTAAATCGTCATTTTTGGTCGAAATATGGCAGCTTTTTGGTATTCTTAATCAAAATTTGTACCGTTTTTACGTTTAAGAATAGTAAACAAACAGCTTAAAACACTTCCTCTATTGTTATTAGAAAAAGGTTAAAGCAAGGTAATTTTTCGCCTACTATCCCGTCGCTAACGTACCAGAACAAAAAGTCGAAAATTGATACCTGATGAGGGTGAAAGTAGGAGTAGGCGATGATGCCGCCGGAAGCCAGTGTGGCCAACGTCACGCCCTGCGTCATGTAGTGACGGCTGAAAAACGAGAATTCGAAATAAAGTCAGAAGGATAAAATTTGAGGAAAGGCGGAATCAGGTTGTGGTTTGTTGGAAAATTCAGCTAATGTTGGGTTTTATCACCTCACGATCATCTGACGCGGCTTCAATACAAAACTAGTAAATCCGGTCTAGCTAAATCGCACGACACCGTCATTTTACGCTCTAGAATCGTCGAAAACCTTAAAAAAAAGAAAAAATCTGACAAGGGAAGGGCACGCTCACAGGGTGGAGTTTCGAAAAACGCTCGCGGCTACCCCCGGGTAATCGACTACGGAGAACACGATGCCGCTGTCCGATTTTGCTACGGAGGCCTGTGGACAGAGATACAGCACTTCCGGAAAATGATGATTTACATGCGAAAAATTAGCATTCGGGGGAGGCCTTATTATGGTCTCCCATGAGTATGGAACCACCAGTTGAATGGTCGAGTGGTAAGCAACTAGCTTTATAGGATAGTGACCAGGGTACGGATCCTCTCACGATTTTTTTCCTTTTGCTTTTTGACAACTTTTTTTTGCACAAGTCCAGAATCTTGTCTAAATGTGATAATTCACCTTGTTAGCAAAACTGGTCGGTGAATCGGGCCAACCTCCAAAATTCCTACAAAAATAAGGCGTTCTCAGCATCGGTCTAACGCTAGATACGAACAAGGATTCGGCAATCACGCCACATAACTAACAGCTCGTTTCACAGCCTTTCAGAGCGCGCACGGGAGGGGTGGTCGGGGCGTGGTGTAGTGGTCTAAGGCGGCGGTTCAGCCCCGAGACAGGGGGCGCGGGTTCGGTTCCCGGGCCCGCAGACCTCCACATTTTCGTTTTGCTTTTTTGTGGAAAATGTTCCTAATGGAATGTCATGACGCTAGACGATTCAAAAAGCATCCTAGCACCTCCTTTCGCGCATAATAAATCAAGAAAAACAGCCGTCTCATTGATATATCCAAATTGTTGTTGCTGTTAAAATAAAAAGCTTAGACATTCTAAAACCATTTGCGGCAGATATAGCTAAGTCTGTTCTGTGTTCCTGGCTTTCAAGTAGGTTCTAAAACAGCCAGCAAAAATTATTATAGCCAGTTGAAAATTTTAACTAACGTCTTATTGAATCCTGCTGTAGATGTCAAGATGATACGTTTCTGCACTTTATTGGATAGTTTCTAGTCTATAGTTTGCTAAAAAATGCTATTGAGGCGCTCTGCGCAAATGTTTAGCTTTTCCATGATGCCCTTTGTCTAAGGTACCTCATTTTTCCAACTTCAAACGGACCGGGCGCCCGATTTGCGTGTCCGGTTGACGGGTAAGCGTGTACGAAAGATAGAGCGAAGAGTGCTTTATTTTCCTATCACGCAAGTCGCTTAGAAAACCTCCGGAGAAAGAAGCTACAGCAAGTTGAAAATGAAAAATTTTGGCCCCCTTTACTTTATCAATCCATTACGCGATGGTTTTGGAGTGCCGCGTAGCCTAGCCCCCCTTCCTCCTCTCGTGCGCGCTTTTATCAAAGGTTAAATCGTAGTGGTTTACGCGAAATTTTAGCATAGATAAAGCCAAGGGGGCGTAATGAAAACGGAAAATTGGAGTCTTTTCCCTCCTAAAAGCATCAAATTTGGGCCTAAAAATAGCCCGACAAACTGGAGAGTACGTAACGCCCGCAAAAAATAGACGGTTTTCAAAAAGACCGCAAACTTAAGCTGCTTCGCAATCAGTTCAACTTCAGAACGAGCCTCGATTTAGATATTGACCCGACTGACTAGCGGCGCAAGAAATTGCGTAACATTCCAGAGAAGGTAAAGCCAGACAATCCCAAGCAAACCGCCAAAAACCACACCTGGGTCCCGATTCCATCGAAGACTGGGCGAGGCCGCCGCTGCTCTGCCGCCGGACGAGCTGCTTGCCATTCGAGAAGGCGCCTTTCTAAAAACAAAAATGTAAAAAATCAACCGGAAACGCACCGCGATTTTGGCGAACATTGCGTCAACGAGTGTGGGGGGCTAAAAACGACATTAAAATGAAAAATCCAGGCTAAACCACACCAGAAAATGATCCGAAAATCGGCAGTAAAATCCATCAAAAAAATGAAGATCTCTAAACTATTTATCACCTATTTACACGAGAGATTCATACACACACACGAAAAGAAGGGATGTGAGCACAAAGATAGAAGTTTAATCTAGTCACCGGCTTGTTATAGGCGGCTTTTCTACTTGGGGGATCGGCTCCAGCCCGCATCGGGGTTCATCGTCGTCTGCAGCGTCTTCAGCGTCGGGAAACGGCGGATCAACTGAAAAATTCGATTTAGATGGCGAAAAACGTCGTAAAAATAACAAAAAGTTATAAAATAAAAACAAGCAAAAGAGCTCTAAAAACAAACCTTTCCAAACCAATTGTCGTCGAGGAAGGTGGCCATCAACCCCAGCGAGATGAAGATCGTCGCCCCGACCACGCCGGAGAAGAGCGGCTCGTGCGTGAAGCTGAAAATTGAGGATTAGAGAAAAATTTGCGTAGAAATGTGAAAATTAATTGAATTTTAGGCATTCTTTCTCCTTTTTCGGCAATTTTTTAAAAGCACAAGAACTAGCGTAAAAAGCTTTTCCAGCGAAAAACGGCGCCAAAACTATCCAGAAAAGCTTACAGGTCATCGACATGACGAGCTTGAGCGGGGGCAACCTTGCGCGGGGTTCCGACGAACTGGGCAACACCCCGCTGGGCCACAACTTGTCGCAACGGGATCTGAAATGGAAAATATATATGTTCGAAAATAAGGAAATCAGATCCAGCCAAAAACCTTTCTTTGGGGAGCATATAAGACCAAGAATTCGCGCAGGAAAAAGAAGCCGGAAGTGCTCCCATTAAAACAAAAAGGGAATAGCCTTTTATATTTGACGAACAACTATCAACCAGCCGGCTCAGCCTTCCGAGGCGCAAAATCAAGGCTACTGCCCCGTCCTGACGCCCAAAAACGAAACACCAACCCTGAATCGAAGCATTTCGCGGGCGCGTTCAGCTGGATGGGCTCGTCAAGGGATTGTCGGGGGGTGGTGGCTCTCGATGCCTGACCGTCTGCGGCTAGAGTCGAGAGATGCCTGAAAAGTGCACCATTCCCCCGCCGCTCAACACAACAACAAAGGCAATGAAAGAGGCAGCGTTGAGAAATGGAAACCGCCCAGGTTCTCGCCATTTTTTGCAGCCTTGCTACCACGTTTTCACAATTAGACGAAAAGTTCAAAACGGCGGCGAATTCAAAATGCCTCCAAGATGCAAAAGCCACTGGGAAATGGAAATCGCGCTAGCCGCGCGCCGGCGGAGAAATTCGCGCTTTTTTCAAACGTAGAGTTTTTCAGTCTCTGCAAAAGCCGAACAAAGTAGCGCAGTCTCTGAGGAAAAGCCTCGCAAGCCCCAAACCGCCCGCCTCCGCTCAAAAGGCCACCGCCAATGTACTCTAAGGTTTCAACAAGAAGCTTCACAAAGTTGCAGCCAAAAATGTTCCAATCTTTCCAGACAAGTTCAGTGCATTTTTCACATTGTATTGCGGTTCACAAAGTTTTAGACATTCAAATATTTATCAACAACAACAAACAGTACATGGAGAAAATGGTTAGACCTTTTGCACCTGCTCCTTGACCTTGGCGCGCTCGAGCTTCGCGGCCTTCGCGTTCGAACGGTCGGACATCACGTGGCCGCCCCAGTGTCGGCGAATCTCGTCTCCGCGCTCGTTGAAGTTCGTGTTGACGGTCTCGGCGATCTTGGCCAGGCTCGACTTGTCCTCCCTGAAAAAAAGGAATAGAATAAGAGTAGCTAAAAGAGAAACTTACGGGCTGACGTCGACGAGGGCCACGCAGCTTGTCGTTTTGCGGCGCACGATGCGTCCGAGGGAGGCCTTGTTCTTGACGATGGCGTACGGGACCTGTAAAAAGAAGATTAGGGCACTCTAAAAACGACAAGGCGCTATGAGGGATGGCTACAAAAATTCGGCACGCTTTGCCTAATGCCAGGATCGGCCAGCGGTAGGCCCAGTGTGGTACGCGTGGCAACAGCTCAAGGCCAGGGTATGCAAAACCTCAGCGAAGACACCCAATGCGGCTCCACCACCCAATTACAATATCAAAACCAAAGAGAACAAAATATACCTTCATTTTTCTGCACAGGGCAGGTAGGAAGAGGGCAATCTCGATGGGCTCGACGTCGTGGGCGATGAGCACGAGGCCGGCCTTGCGTTGCTCGACGAGCTTCGTTACTTCGTTGATGCCGTGGCGGACAGTCTTGCGGCGGCCCGTCACTTCCTCCTTCCTTCCCTCAGCGCGGGCGACAGCTCGCTTGCGTAGTCGGTCCTTCTTGTCGGTGGCGGACTCGGGCCTGTACTTCGCCAGCAGCTTGAAGGCTTGCGTGGCGGTCTGCTTGTCGAGGGCCATCCGGAATTGGTTGATGCCCGGCGGGACCTTCAGGCGCTTTTGAAGGACAGCCTCTGGAAAAAAAGAAAAGTTCAAAAAAGGCAGACCACAGGCAGTGTTGAGGCGCCGAGAATCAGAGAAAGGCGACAGAGTTTTGTAAGCAACGAGCAGAGACAGGCGACAAAGCGCAATTCATCCTGGCTTCCGACACCAAGGACCAAGGAATGATAAGGCAACAATGAAAGCAAAAAGGCAAGAAACAAACTCACTTTGCCGTTGGAGGCGGATGTACTTGGGCCATTTGACGAAGCGGGTCAGGTCGCGCTTGGGTTGGATGTGCTGGCCGATGCGGTAGTTGTGCGGGCGCGGCTCGAACAGCGGGTTCTTCGGCGCGATTTCTTCAGCCTTGCCTGAAAAAGGAGGATATCAAAACCAGATAGAAATAGTGTACCTTTGAACGCCGCCGGAGTTGGGGCCACCTTCTTCTTCTTGATGATCTTCTTCGACGGCTGAAAAAGTAAATAGAAACGAAAATGAAACGGACTAACAAGACAGCTTTTGACGATAGGTGTTTTCAAGGTTCGAAAGTCTACGAAACCGAAAGTGCAGCTAGGCGCCAAAACAGTAAAAACCGCAAAAATCAGGACACTATCAAAAAAAAGTAAAATAAAAACAACACCCACCATTTTCGCGAGCTGACGAAAAAGTGCGGAAAATGAGCGAAAACGCGCTCGTCGACCGGGCCCAGGGTCCTGAAGCGAATTCGAGCGTTACGATGGCTAGTGCGGTTTAGGCTGCGAAGACTTTCGTCGGCCGGCGTTTTCGAAACAAAAAATGTGCAAAATCAGGAAAATTTGTAAAATTTGTAAAGTTTTTCTGGTTATGGAAGTTTTAGAAGTTGTAAAAATGTGCTTGTGAAGATGCGAAGGTGATAATTTGCGTAGCGCGCTAAAACCTTTCTAAAACGCGTTATTTTAGGCAATTTTGGAAAAACGAGGACAAGTTTGAAACTATAGTTTTTCTAACGGGAACTTGAAAATTTTTATGGTTTGGCAAGTTTGCAGGTCATAAAAATGTAGGTTTGAGGATGGAAAGTGATGAAACTGGCGATTTTCGTGCTAAAAGCTTACTAAAACTAGCTATTTTTGGACAACTTCAGAAAACCCATGCAAAAAAGGGGAAAGATGGTGTTTCTAGTAAAGTCTTGCCTACAGCACGCTATTATCTTTTTTACGCCCTGGAGCCTCCAATAGTTTATTTTTTACTTTTTTTCAGGATGGACCCTCGTGATCGCCCGGGGCCATCTCGAACTCCGCGACCGATTCGCCAGCTTCAACGTGTTTTTGAAGATCCCGGCCGTCCAATGTCACCAGCCGCCGTTCAGCAAGCAAGGGAGACGCTAGCCGCTCGTATGCGCAGATCTCGAGACGAACCATACGACCCGAACCGCTACCTGCCGGACGAGTTGAAGCCGCTCAGGGACAGACGGCTTCCGCCCCAGATGCGCGAAGTCGCCCCAGAGTCCTACGACGCTTACATGAAATTCCTGGGCACGGAGAAGCGTATCGACACCTTCTTGGCCCGGAAGAAGCTTGAAATGGGACGCAAAAACCTGGTCGTGCCGCGCACCCTTCGCGTTTTCGTCAGTCACCAATTTTTCCCGGGCGACGAGGACGGGAAGTTGCCAATGTGGGAATTGCGAGTGGAGGGCCGACTTTTGGGGCTGGATGGCCAGGTTGAGGATGATGAACAGCGTCGCCAGAAATTCTCTACGTATCTGAAGAGCCTGGTGCTCGAGCTGGATCGAGAGATGTATGGGCCGGACAACTGCTTGGTCGAATGGCATCGATTCCCGAACTGCAATGAGACCGACGGGTTTCAGGTGTGTTTTTAGGCTTATTTTAGTTTTGTCAAAATCGTTTGGCGAGAATCATTTAATCGAAATTGTTCTGTCTTTTTTCGCGCCGATTATTCAGCTCAAACATTTTGCAAATTGGAATTTCGACAAAATGATACTTCGACAAATTGATAGCAAAAGCCGAGGAACAAATTCCATCATATTTAACCGATTTAAATTTTCGCAAAGCAGTTTGCGTGGAATTGTGCATGTAATTCGGTGGGTTCTTTTGCGTTATCCGGGAGTTGCTAAGCTCTTTTAAAAGTCTAAATTGGTCCAAACCTCGCCGTTTTCGGTCGAAAAATCGATATTTTTTTGTTGGTTTTTAATCGATATTTGTAGTTTTTACTTTTAAGCATAGTAAAAACAATTTAGAAACACTTCCGCTCGGTGGATTTGAAAAATTCGATCCTCAGAAAAAGTTATTCCCCCGATAACGTGAAAGCACCTCTAAATCCTCTAAAAAGTAGTTTTTCTTGCGCAAAATTTCTTTCTTATATCGACTTTTGCAGATAAAACGCCCGGGCGACCGTCCTCTGCGCTGCAAGATCCTGATACTCCCGCTAAATCCTCAAGCCAAGCTACAACTTAAGCCGATGCTCCAGCGACTTCTCGGCATCCACTGCGACACCCGTGACAATATTCGCGCGGCTCTTTGGACGTACATAAAAACGCACAAGCTGCAAGACGCCCAGGATCATATCTGGATCAACAACGACCGCTGGTTGCAGCAGATTTTCGGATGTGAGAGGATGAGATTTTGCGATATTCCACATCTGCTACAACCACATCTAATGGTGCCCGAACCGGCACGCATCAATTATCGCCTCGAAAACAAGGGCCCCGGCACGGTGACGAGCTGCTATGATATAAATATCGACGTTGGGAATGTGTTGGCCGAAAACCTCAACCATTTCAATCAGGCCTACACAAATCAAGCGGACATGCTCCTCGTCAACTTTAAAATCGATACGATGCTGAAGGAGATTATCGAGAAGCTGAAGACGTTCAATTTCTACATCGAATTCGCACAGGATCCACGAAGATTTGTGAACAAATGGGTGCGGGCACAGTCGGCGGAGCTGCGGGCTTTTTCTGATCTGCCTGGCGGTAGTGAGGCGGACCGGATGGCCGAGACGTATCAACAGCCCGCATTTGAGGAGGCTGTCGGCCGGTATTTATACATGAAAATCAACGAGAAGCGCGGCGAGATGGAGCGGGCGCTTGGATTGCAACCTTGAACCGGAAATAAGCGAATCAGACCAATTTTATCCCCGAAAATAGATTTTCTTCCCATTTTGTGTGTATTTTTAAACCAAATAAACGTGATTGATTGATTGAAATGTTGTGCGTTGTATGTCTAATCACCTTTTCCCAATGATCTCTCGAGTGAATTAAGTTATGGCTCAATTAAATTTGATAAATTTCAGGTAAAATGGGACGATCGTCGAAGGGCCATGGAGAAGAGCTACGCGCTGGTCATCGTCTCGAAGAGCCGTTCTTCGATTGACAAGGTTTCTTTTGAGATTTTGAGTGTTTTTAGGAAGGTCTACTCGGTCGCCTCGCTCGTCATCTACATGCTCAGCTCCAGCGATCGAGAGGGATTTTGAAAATGGTAACCCGAATCGTTAGATTCATTTTTAATTTTTTTTTTTTAAAATAAAAATTTTGTCGAATCCGTGTTTTTCGCGTGGTTATCCTGGTTTTGAATTTCATACTTTCTATTCAACAGTTTAATACGATGAAATAACATAACAATAAGTAAAGAAATGCACGAAATTGAAAATCCTAGTAGCATCAGTTCATATCAAAAGTACCGGGGGTAGAAATTGGGCGTAAAACACGTATCACAAAGTGGAGGATCACATTTCTAGCGAGCAAAATAGGGTGAAAAATAATTAGCTAGCTTAATCGTTTCTAAAACGTCTAGAAATCACGATAGAAGCGATCGTGGCAGATCAGTTGTCCGGCAGTTCGTGCGGGCGCGTCGAATATTGGCCATAGGCGGCATGTATTGTTGCTCTGAAAAGCGGAGTTTTCGGTTTTGTAGTTTCTGAGAAGGATTAGGAAAGTTTTTGGGAGGATCGGCGCTGGTTCGTTAGCGGGGGGTGACTTTTTCCTATTTTCTCGTAAGGAAACATAAACTATTAGACCAACATTTTAGCACCGTTTTGGATATAAAAGCGCATAAAAATTAGTACAGCTATAGAAACTGTTGGCATTTTTTATCAACAATGTAGCAAAATACCCAAAATTTTGAAAATCTAATTCGTTTTTAAATTGCATTTTGTAACTAAGCCTGTTTTATACAGGGTGTTCCAAAAAAAAAGGTCCAAGTTTGTCCCCGAATAACTCGAGAAGGAAACATATTTCACGGTGCGTTACCATGCCAGAATGCTTAAATATGTCAGGAATAGGGAAATAGCTCAACTTGATTTTTTCGATTTTTGAGTACGCAACTGTACTATTGACGCTGGTTACGACCGAAAATTGTGCGTTCTTGAACGGGTGGTGGGAAAATTCTGATTTTTGGCCGAAAAATAGTTGACATTTGTAGAAAGGTAATGGCCAAGTCTTAGAATTTTTCAAGCTCTAATTCTTTTTTTACAAACAAAACAAATTACCCTATTTTGCTTATTTTTACTTTTGAATTCACAACTCGCTTCAAATACGCTGCCCATGGCTGATCTTTTGCAATAGGTGTCTCCGAATGATAATCTTTAGTACAATACCAATTTTTACCTGATTCTATGGTATTTTTCTATTGCTTGCTAAAACGTGCCCCAGAGGGATACTGTAGTTTTAGTTTTTCGCGTTTTTCTTTTTATTGTAAGCTGCGATTTCGCTTAAAATTTTATCATTGGTAAACACTAGTAAGGGTCACCTATGGGCTAAATATCTCGAAGTTCTAGCCATACACCTTCCTAAAATATGCAAAAAACTGATTTTTGCGTTTAGCCACGGAAATGTCGAAATCTTTTGATGCATGGGACCAAAAACTACTATTATTTGTTTTCCCAAAAGATCGAAACGTTTTTATGGTGAAAAGAACGAGAAAACGGCGATTTTCTGTTTTCTACCGTAACCCGCCTGGAGCACGTTTTAGCATGCCAAGACAAAATGCCATAAAATGCCAAATTTTGTGTTCGAGACTGTTCACTGGGCGATTGTAAGAGCACCTACAAAAAATTACTTGATTCCTGTGGCAAATGACAAAGTTATCAGGGAAAGTGGAAAACCCCTCTCGGGCCCCGATTTTGGACCCGTCGCCCGGGAGTCGAAAATCGAATTTTTGAAAATGAAAAAGGCACCGGGGTTTGGTGGATACAATCAAAGCATGTATCGACCTGTGTATGAGAGCAGAATTCTGGAATGATCTGGCTGAAGTTAATGGTTAATTTTGATTTAAAACCCGAAAATAACATTTTTTGAAAAGCCGACTTTGGGGTGCTCTTCTAAATTCGTTTGGCATGAAAAGGATTGGTATTTACATGGGTTCTAGTTGATTACCCAAGCTTGATCTATGCCAGAAAAGTCGGGCCTACTAAACCCTCGAGAATTTTTTTACGTCGCCTCAAAGTGGGGTATATTTTGTCTCTTCATGAATTTATTTTGAAAGATCGGATGGCCCAATAAATTTGTAGATATAATCTTAGAATGCGCCCATTAAGCGGTATTTAATAAAAGTATGACAACAATTCTAGCCGCGCAGTTGAATTTTATAGACTGGCACAAAGATCTGCGAAATAGCACGAACCAACCGTTTTGGCGGCGCTAAAAGGCAACCTTCCAGCGGGGTACGGTAGCTAGAAATTGTTTACATGATAGATGGACCCCAGCCATACACCGCCAAGCAAAGCAAACACCGAAATTCTATCTGCAATTTTAGAAATATTTTTCCAAAGTTCGGTTTCGGGACCTCGAAAGAATCCATGACCAGGGGGTCGTCGAAAAACTCAAAAATCCGCGGTTCTGAAATTTTTTTTTGTTATTTTTGTGGGATTGTATCGAGCCTATAGACATGCTAAAACAGCTTATTTTGAGGTTTCCACCATAGGTTTTTGTAATATTCGAAATTTACGAAATTTCTCCATATTAAATTTGAGCACGCTATAACTTGCCAACCAGACCTTCGAAAATTCTAAAATTCCGGATGTGCGTAGGGGCGATCCTTAGGTACCTACACTGTAAAAATTGAAAGTGTTGGACCACCAGCAATCCAAAAAAGTGCAAACGAAGTTTTGCCGGAACGCACAGTTTTCGGGTGTCATTTGTATGGGTACGTCGCCAAAAATCGAAAAAATCAAGTTGAGTTATTTCCCTATTCCTGACATATTTAAGCATTCTGGCATGGTAATGCACGGTGAAATATGTTTCCTTCTCGAGTTATTCGGGGACAAACTTGGACCTTTTTTTTTGGAACACCCTGTAGGGAATTTTGGACTAAATAAAAGTAGTTAAACCCCCCGCTAACGAACTAGAACCAAAACTGCGTGGAATTTTTGGCTTTTTTAAGGGATAAATGGTAGCTTTGTGTTTTTCTCGTTGTTTGAAGGGCTATAGTCTAATATTGGCACTCCCTACCTGGTCAATAACCATCTTGATCATAGTATTCGGGTTATTCTTCGATCGAAATTCGAGGAAACTCTCCTGAAGGCCCTGTTGTCTCGCGGCAAAGATGAACGCCTCCCTCCAGATCCTCGAGCAACCGGAAGCCGTGATGTTGAAGTAGGCCGAGCGGCCCTCCATCGTGCTCCATGTCTGAAAATTGGCTTGATATTTTGTAGCTTATTTTGAAGCTCTAGCTCGCCGCTCGGTTTCTCTAGCTCGTGCTCACCTGGATAAAAGAAGCCAGGGCATCTGGCGCAATACTGTCCACTTCAAAGTGAAAAGTGTTTTTCTTGTCTGATGTCGGGAGTTGTTGGGTGAAATTAGCCAAAAGGCGAGCGCTACTGAAAGAGATTATTTAGAAGGGCTTTTTGGGATATTGTATAAGTTGTAAATTATTTTTTTAAGGTTTTTTAGTACTATTTTGCGACGTTTCTGGCGCCTTTTCAATAGCGAACAGGCGGTTCTGGACGTACAATTTTCTAGAAGTTTTTGGCGCTTAACGTTAAAATTATTTTTCTATTCTGATTTTAGTTGTTCTTTACTTTTTTTTAGTTTTTAAAATCTTTAGCCTTTAGGTTTTTAAAATTTATAATTTTTAGCATTAAAACCATAATTTTTCTTTAGTTTTCTAGGCTTTTTTCGATACTTACTCTGCGATGGCATACTGCGCAACCGTATTCAACGATCGATAATGCGTCAATTGACTCGATATCGCTGGGCCGAACACGTCAGAAATTGAGAATGGGATCGTCGAGTCTTCGATGAGGAGTTGCTAGAAAAAAAATTGGTAAAGTTAATTTTTATTATTCGAAGCTTACCTGAACTCTGGGGAGTAAAATCCGGAAAAATTGGCGAATCGCATGATCATCGCCGAGTTTTACTCTTTGCAGTAATAACGTTGAAACGTGGAAATTTTCGCTGTTGATCAGTTCGGCGACGATTCGTTCGAAGATAGGCGTCCTAAAAATAGAGGGTTTTTTGATACGATTCAGATTTATTACGTGTCGAGCCCGTTTTCGGCCATGTCGACCAGCTCGATTTTGGCAATTTCGAGGGCAAGCCATTGATCAAAGTCGAAAGTGGAGAAATCCTGAAAAACGGAAGGTTATTTTGGTTAATGTAAGGCTGTAAGTAAGTTGTAGTTTGTCGTTTACAATCTTTTCCAACTCCTATGTTCCATAGATGCGAATTTACTTAGAATATGCTCAAATAGATGCGATTTTACGTAATTTGAAGATATGAGGCCTCGTCATATATTGTGGTATACCCTTTTTCTAACCCGAATGGTGCCACAATTTAGGTTTTACGTAGAATTTTCCCCCAAAATCAATCGATTTCCCGTTCTAGAGTCTAAAGTGCAGCTGCTATTTTGTTGGCCTTATTTTTCCGCGGAAAAAAGGTGGTTAGGGGCCGCCCCGCGGGTCCATTTGCCCTTCTCGATAAGAATCAGTCCAGAGAAGGGGAAGAGGAAAAAGCGTTCGATAACGGCCAGAACGAGATGCCGGAATTTGGACAGTGGAGGCAGTGGAGGGACCGAGAAAATCGAGAAAATGACCCCATCACCCCTGAAAGGAGAAGCCGGCGTGTTTGGGGCATGGTAATTGTTTGTGTCGCGGAGGAATAGCTTGGCAGGAACTTTGGTCCTCCACGCATCAACGAAACAAACGAAAGATTAGTGGGCTGGCTAGCTTGTACTTCGATTAAAGGGATTGGCAAGGCTATGGATTTGCGCACCCGCGACCCGGCACGTGTGCGTGCGTTGGTTTGAACTTTCGCGACCCTTTAACGAATTCATTTAGCCACTCACATTAACGATAGTCCGGCTATGGCCCAATTTGTTGTGCGCAATCTGGATCTGGCCATTTTCAGCGTAGATTCGGACGCAAAATAGCGGGCGGGAGAGACGGGTCGAGTTGTTGGAGATGATCATGTTCGTCTAGAAGGTTTTGGGTTAGTTTTATGGCTATTTTCGGTGATTGAACTTTTCAACTAGCTAGCAAAGCACTGATGATTTTTTTGAACGTTTCGGCGGTTAAAAATACCGAAATTTGGCGGAACAACCGTAAGAAAGCGATTTCAAGCCGTCGATCGTATAATTTTCAGTTTTCTGTGAATTTCGAAGGTTAACTGTTTCTAATTATTTTTTGAACTTTTAGGTGGCTAATAAAGCTAGTTTTTACGACTCTTTTTGGTATTTCTGATCCTTTTTGCCTTTTTTGACGCTCGAAACACCCTAATTTCGGTGTCCAGAACGTAAAAAAGGTATTTCAGCCGATAATTTTGATATTTGAAGAATTTTGACGTCTTTTTAGGGGTTTAGGATCCGCGTTTATCGAATTTCGCTTCAAAAACTAGCTAGAAAGGCTAAAAATTAGCCAATCTAAACGAACCTTCCGACACAGCAACCTCGCATTTTCCACATCCCTGGCCGGCAGATTATTTAGTACGCGGAATACGAGTTCCGGCGGAAGAGTAGAGAATGTTGTTTGAGAACCGGATTGCCACTCCATACTTGATTTTTAGAGCGATTCCTGTAACGGTCAGCTGCTTATCCGATCGAAAGGAGCCACGAAATGAGTGAAAGGGTTTTGTGGTGGGCCGTATCACGTGTGTCCCTCGCCACACACACGCCTCATTTTATTCGAAAATGACAAAACGGATGGGCAGTGTGTGTGGATGGGGCAATTGGAGGAATGAGGGAACGGCATAAATTGACACCGCGTTCGGGTCATGAGGGTGTATTTTGAGGTTTTAAACGAGCTTTTCGTGGTTTTAGCGTGGTAGAAAAAGCCGAATTCCCTAAAATGGCATACAGTAGGCATAAAAATATGAATTCTAGCGTTTTTTTTTGCTTTTACGAGACATTAGGGTGGCATTTGCAAATTTGGGATTGTTGTAGATCGGTTTCTAGAGATTTTAGGGTAAATGGAAAGGCAAAAGTTGACAAAATTGGCGTACTGTAAGCGTAAAAATCGATTTTTACGCATTTAATGAAATCCGGCTAGCGCAGAAACTGATTTCTATAGTTTTTTGTGAAGCCAGATAGCTAAATTACAATACAGTATGCCTGAAAACGATTTTTCCCAGGTAGTTTTTCAACGATTCTTAACTGAATAGATCCTTTTAGTTTACAAAAAGCTAAAATATCTAAACTGGCATACAGTAGGGGCAACAAGTCAATATAGGGCAATATAATAAGGCCCGAAGTTTCTATAGAAAAAGTACCCTGGATAGGAAAACTACTTCTTATGTTTTTTGTTGCAGTTAGATAGTTAAACTGTATTACAGTACGGCTGAAACTCCTATTTTTCCGCGGTTTTTGGCTAAAATTGACGGACCGCTATAAATAAAGTAGTTCTAATGAATTTTTAGCAATTTGAAAAGCTTACCTGGCATACAGTAAGCCTAAAAATGACTACAAAGCAATTATTGCAAAAAATATCCAAATTGCCGTTCAGATCAGGAGATTCCGACCCGAACGGAGCGCTCGCGGAATATTTTGGCGAATGTGGTGCAGCTGAAGAAGAGCAGGGACGGCCCCTCTTTTTCTGGGCTGCGTAGGCAGTTTTGATGGAGATAAGGACCGGGCAGAAAAAGATTAGGAAGATTCATCGGATGACCCCTCCAAAGATCAATCTCTCGAAATGGGCCACGCAAAAAGAGGGTGATCGGATCGGGGGAAACCCCGTTTTTGCAGACGTTGCAGAAATCTGGAGATTTGGGCCTAGAATCGAGGCATTACGCTTTGAAATTCTGGGAATTTCATTTTCTTATTTTTTATCGGTTGAACCGGCTGGCAGAAGAGCTGATGTTAGAAAAAAATCGCCAGACACTATGTAATTTTTCGATTTTTGGAGCAAAATTTATGGATTTTATACCTTTGAACGTCCATGTTTGATCAATTACGACATGAAACTCGTGAGGATCTTGCTTTTCTAGTTTTGCCAGTTTTGCCAAGCCAAACTGTCTGTCATACAATCTGATCGTAAAAATAGAACTTCATAACCCGCTGAAATTTTAAGTTTTTCCGGATTTCTGGCACTGGACAGCCCATGTTGGATAGATTACGGTACGAAAAGCAGGCGAATACTTGGTTTCTCTATTTCCTCGATCAAACTGTCTGACAGTCAACCAAACAGTACCTGTGAATCCAAAAAATCAGCATTTTTGAAAGTTTTTGCAGTCGATTTCGGGTTTTGAAAGCGGATTTAGTCGTTTGTTTGAAATACGTTAGCAACCATGATTTGTAGCGTAGAAAGACGTTTTGAATCGTCGCGTCATCCCGTTAAAAACAGGCCCAAATTACCGTAGTTTTTCCACCAAGTCTTTAATTTTTCGATTTTTCGGCCTAAAAGCTTTCTATTTAACCCCGTTGAACTCCAGCAAGAATGCACCCAATCGAACGGTGGCCTAAAAATCGTTCGTTCGTTTCTGCCGGTGCACTCTTCAGAAGCGCGATTTCGGCCCGTAAAAAGCGCGGGGCGTAAAAGATAGCGTACCGGGCCGTGCTACTTTTCGATCAGTGCTGAAAAAGAGCGGGGGTTCGTGTCTGGAGGTCTGGAAATTTGGGGAAATTCCTTGCCGGATGGCAGTTTAGATAACAAGGTAAAAATCAACGCTAAAATATAGCTTTAAAAATTCTTAGAGCCTAAATACTGCCCAAAAATAGTCAATTATTGGCGTAATGGGGCTATTTGTTTTTCTAAACGTTAAACACAAGTTAACTTGAAGTATTCCGCTTTGATGTGTGTCAGTTTGGATAATAAGCCAAAAATTTAAGCTAAAATATACCTTTAAAACTTTTAGAGGCTAAAAAATGCCTAAAAGCCCATAATTTAAAGTCGTAAACGGTTGAGCAACGTAATAATATACTTTTCTAGCGTAAAACGATACCTTTAATCATATTAAAGCCCAAAAACCTACTAAAAAGCGTAATTTCGCATCGTAAAACGCAAATCAAATATTTTCCTTCCCTTTTTTGGTATCACTTTACTGCTTCCATTCCGTTTGACACCAATGCACGCCCAGAAAATATATCGTTTTTGCCAAATTGCAGCGGAAAACTGTTGACAAAGCATTTTTCTAGCGGGTAAACAGGTCAGCTAGAATACTCGCTGTCGCAGCACAAATCGAAACGCTTATCTCGACGATTCATTCCGGCCATGAATGCAGCTACGGAATATACCCATAAACGATCGAATAGCCGGAATTTTTAGGGAAAACACGGAATTTCGGATTTCACATGGCCGGCTGGCAGGCAGTTTGCATAATGAAACGGATTGTAGGGAAAATCGGGTACTAGGCTATTAACGGGGGGGTGTATTTTGGTCTTTCGCTCTAACGGGAACAGCCACCTTTTTTACTTGAGATCCAATTTTTCAAATATTGATATTGGAAGCGTTTCGAAGCGGTTCATACTACCCCTAAACGTCAAAAATTTACAAATATTCATTAAAAATATCAAAAATATAGCTTTTTCTATCCAAATTGTCACTCCCTCAAATTTTTTAAATGGTTGTAGGTAGTGTTCTGGTTGAAATATAGCTCTCATTTGGAGTAAACACTAATAAAATACTTGCTAGATATTTCTAGACTTGTACAAAAAATTTCGATCACCCCCGCTAACAGCCCAGTACCGCATGGACAGATTTTAGGTAAATGGGGTGCGATTTTTTTTGGAAAAGCTGTTTTACTGTAAAGTCGATTTTATTTGTATTTGCGTTTCAAGCGTCTATTCGCAAAGACTAACAATTTATTAACATGATATCGCTATAATAATACGTAAATAGAACAACTCTATGATTTAATTTAGTCTAGTCTTTGTGCAGACCAGAAAATTCGTTGAAACAAAGCGGGGATAAATTAGAAATTTAGGATATTGCGATTTACGATTTTTGAACATAACAATAGCTTACCACTCGGAGTTTTATTCATTAATTACAGGCATCGGTAGTTAAAAGAAGCGAAAATCGAACCAATTCTGCAGTATCAGTTCATCCCCATGGTTATAAATAATTCAAAGCAACTTTTATTCAAGAACCAAGCATGGATTTGGCCTACACAAACGAAAAACGAGAGATTTTCCGCGAAATGCCAATCGTTACTTCCGCATGCGCAAAAATAACGACATGCCCTACACTCGCCTTCAGCGTCAACACTTTTCCATCTTCTCGCCGAATCCGTCCCACCGTCCTGCCATCATGTATGGCGTTATCTCGGCCATCCAGCCAAAAGCTTGCGGGTTCTGTCCCGAAATACGGATAATACTTCATTTCGAAACTGATCATGACGATGTCGCGTCGATAGGCCATCCATTCGTCCAAAATTTCCCAAAGTATTAGCTTTGAATACTCCGGATTGCAGAGATTGCATAGACTGATCCGCGAATTTTTGAACTGAAGGTTGAATTTTGTATCTGTCTCGAATCCTGGCGTTCGAATGTGGATTTCGTCGGCCGACTCGTTGATGTAGTTGATGATGTCGCTAGAGAGCATTTCTGCCGAAAAAAGGGTGATTGCTCGAAAGTTCTTTTCGGGATCCTTGAACTCGGCGAGCTGCTCGAGGGTTACTGGAGAGTAGACGATGAGATGATTAGAGGCGATCGGCCGAGGTAAAGCCGTCATTTCTGAGGGAAGATTCAGGAGGTCAACGTGGGCCCCTTCCACAAATTGACCCCAGATTGAAGGCAATCTGACGCGAGAATGGGCTCCACAAATCCCGTTCACCCTCACAACGCCTCTTCCGAACGGTTCGATACTCGAGAAATAGCGTGGCCCCTGGCAGACCATTTCCCAGCTGTTCCGACTTGTCGCGGTGAATGCCATCAGGGCATAGAGATCGTTGTGGAGGTAGTAGATGATCTGACGCTTCACCACATCTGGCAATCTCGGAAAGTCGAGCATCTGAAAGTGGGTATTTTCATGGCGGGGCTGGTCGCACAACGGCCTTGGGCCTTGGCCTTGGCCCTTGGCCGAGGGCCAGCAGATGGTTGCCGGGAAAAAGCGTACTGTAGGTGTTTTTGGCGCGTTGCGTGCGGGTGCGCGGAATAGCAACGAGTTTTTAACTGCGCAGGCCTGCTTTTGCAATTGCGCGACGTTAGACCTACATGGTGGTGCATAAAAAAAGTGAAGTTTGCACTGAAATATCTGGCGAACGGAACCGAATCGGACCATGGTTACCTTGCCAGAATGCTTAAATATGCTGGGCATGGAGAAATAACACAAGTTGTTCTTTAGAATTTTTGACGACCAGTGGGTCGTTAAAAAGTTTTGAACATTTTTGAAAAAGTAGAAAACTTTGAAGATGAAAACAATGGAACTTTTGATGAGTTAGGGAAACTTCAAGGGTATCAAAATTTATGTACTCACTTTTTTTATGCACCACCCTGTAGACGTTAGCCGAAAAAACCTCTATTCGAAAATCGTCTTTTTGAAAAGTCATCTGTTCGAGAATGGTCATTTTGGTTGCTGGGCCAAAGTGAGTTTTGTATCTAACGCAATTGTTAATTTTTCAGTTACCTTCTACAGAAATGAGCGAAAAAAAGAAAAGAAAGTTACCGTCTACTAGAAAAGTACCGTATTCCGACCGAAAGAAGATAGAAAACAAACCGGGCATTATCGAGACGAGTACTTACATTCCTCTGATGATTGCTCATCATTTGTTGGCTGACAACTGACCCTTCGAAACCAGCCATATCTGGAATTCGTCGGCAAAGATGACATTGCGATAATTCAATTAAATTGGTTCGAGAACGATTAAAGGGAGAAAACAAGGCTTAGAAATTTGTTTCTTTAGGGAAACGAGATTCTGTTGGCCAAAACCTAGATTATATAGTGTGTCGGGTTGTATGCATAGATATCGAGTGCTTCACAAAGGGATCATCATCCAAATTAGCGCGCCTTTTGACCTAGTTTCTTTTAAAATGGCCATCTACCGTATTTCCTCTAATGTAACCCGGGGTTTCTATTGTTTTCAAGGAGGGGGCTGTGTTAGTAGGAGGGATTTATTTGTTGTGATTTTGAGCAACTACAACGATTTTTGGCAGTTCAAACTGCTCACAAACACTAATGGACACAACACAGAGCTTAAACAAGTTTTAGGCCTTTTTGCTTTTTTAAAACAACTTCTAAAAATATTTTTTTTTGGGGGGTGGTATTGATAAATAATTCAACACAACTTTTTTTCAGCAATTAAACACGGATTTCGCGGACACAAACGGAAAACGGGAGATTGGACGCGACATGTCGTGTAACTTGAAAAAGCCATATACACTCAGTAAAATAACTATAAAGGCAGTGGTTTTTGTCGAATATCTCGGCGGTTTTTGCACTTATCGAGATGCAATTTTCAGATTAGGCTTCTGAAGAGCCACTTGATATCCAGTACAAATCCGAATC